AGTGCGCCGCAGCAGCAAGCTCGTACTGGCCGACAGGGTCAATAGACGACGGGAGGGGTGGTGGAGTCGCAGAGCGCCCGTTTAAGGGCGGCTGTGCGCCGGATGAGTCACGGCTGAGAATGCAGTCTCCAGGCTCGCCATCGCGAAACCCAGAGACTCGTTGCTCACCATGCGAATCATGTCCATGCTGGGTAGGATCGAGAGGTGCTTCCAAGAAGGGTTTAACCGGAGGCGAGCGGTCGAAGACTGTGGAAGGCTCTGATTGCATAAAAGAGTTTCGCGGGGTAGGTGGCACAACGGAGGCGACTGAACCAGGAAGACAGTCTGGGTCAGTCGAAAGGGTGAGAGGGGCGGAAATTTGAGGGAGGGAAAGCGCGCGGACAGGCAGGATGGGCAGAGCGTATAGACAGCAAGTAGACAAACTGTAGAGTAGAGGAGGGAAGGTTGAGAGAGATCCAAACGAGAGAGAAGGGGAGAGAGAAGAGTAGGAGGGAAAGAAAGGTAGAAGTGACGAAAGGAGGGGATCGGACGGACCCGAGCCGGTCTCGCCCGCGTCCCATGATTTACGTCACGTGAGCACGCGGCGAGGCGCGACTTTCTCGAAAAGGGAATTAATTGATTATTTCATTGTCAGCCCAATGATCGAACTACGCACTGGTACTGTGTCCAAACTGCAACGAAAGGTTTTCAACGCTCTATGCAGGAGAATACCCATCTTATCTTTCCAGTCGGTAGCGTAGGCAGCACTGGCCCATTCCAGGCAGCCAGGCGATACATGAAAGTCATATAACCGAGTTCATTCTAGCCGTCTGTCTACATCTCTTCTCGGTCATCAGAACTTCCCAACTTCATCATATCTTATTCCGCCATAAAATAGACCCACGATGCCAAATCTTGGCGGTAAGTCACTGTATCCACCTTGAAAAGTCCCTCAACTAAACGCCGATCAGACGCGGAAACCATCCGCATCCTCGTGGCCACCGACAACCATGTGGGCTACAACGAGCGGGACTCCATCCGGGGCGACGACAGCTGGAAGAGCTTCCACGAGGTAATGTGCCTGGCCAAAGAGCACGACGTGGACATGGTGCTGCTAGCGGGGGATCTCTTCCACGAGAACAAGCCGTCCCGGAAGTCCATGTACCAGGTGATGCGGTCGATCCGCATGAACTGCCTGGGCGACAAGCCGTGCGAGCTGGAGATGCTCAGCGACGCGAGCGAGAACTTCCAGGGGGCCTTCAACCACGTCAACTACGAGGACCTGGACATCAACGTCGCCATCCCCATCTTCTCCATCCACGGCAACCACGACGACCCGTCGGGCGAGGGCCACCTGGCGGCGCTGGACATCCTCCAAGTTTCTGGATTAATCAACTACTACGGCCGCACGCCGGAATCCGACAACATCCAGGTCAAGCCGGTGCTGCTGCAGAAGGGGCGGACCAAGCTCGCGCTGTACGGGATCAGCAACGTGCGCGACGAGCGGCTGTTCCGCACCTTCCGCGACGGTAAGGTGAAGTTCTACCAGCCCTCCATCCAGAAGGATGACTGGTTCAACCTGATCTGCGTGCACCAGAACCACCACGCCTACACGGAAACGGGCTACCTCCCAGAAAACTTCCTGCCGGAATTTTTGGATCTGGTCATCTGGGGCCACGAGCACGAGTGTCTGATCAACCCGCGCCGGAACCCCGAAACCCACTTCCACGTCATGCAGCCGGGCTCGTCCGTCGCCACCTCGCTGTGCCCCGGCGAAGCCGTCGCCAAACACGTTTCTATCGTGAGCATCACGGGCCGCGAGTTCAAGAGCGAGCCCATCCGCCTCCGGACCGTGCGGCCCTTCGCCATGCGCGAGATCGTGCTGTCGGAAGAGAAGGGGGCGCAGAAGCTCGCGCGCAAGGAGAACAACCGCACCGAACTCACGCGGTTCCTGATGGGTATCGTCGAGGAGCTCATCGAAGAAGCCAAGGAAGAGTGGCTCGAGATGCAGGACGAGGCGCCGCCGACCGCCGATGACGAGGACGACGAGCAACCCCGCGAGATCCCCTTACCGCTGGTGCGCCTGCGTGTGGAGATCTCCACCCCGGAGGGCGGCAGCTACGACTGCGAGAACCCGCAGCGGTTCTCGAACCGCTTCGTCGGCCGCGTCGCCAACGTCAACGACGTGGTGCAATTCCACCGCAAGAAGAAGAACACGGCCGGCGGCGGCACCCGGCGGAAGGACGGCGCCACCGCAGACGTCGACGAGGCGGCCATCTCGCACCTGACGACCCTCGACACCGTCAAAGTCGAGCAGCTGGTGCGCGATTTCCTCGCCACGCAGTCCTTGACCATCCTGCCGCAGAACTCCTTCGGGGACGCAGTGGCGCAGTTCATCGACAAAGATGACAAGCACGCGCTGGAGATGTTTGTCAACGAGTCCCTGGAGAGCCAGATCAAGCATCTCATGGCGCTGGACCGCGACACCGACGAGATCGACGCGGCGGAGGAGCTGGCGCAGAGCTCGTTGCACAAGGCCATGGAGCGGTATCGCACGCAGATGGAGGATATGTTCACCCGCGGGGTCAACAAGCGCAGCCGCCACGCCCGCGGCGGCAAGCGGCGGTACAAGCCCAAGCCCGACGGCTGGGACAGCGAGTTCGATGGCTCGTGGGAGGATCAGCCGGGCGCGCTGATCCACTCGGACAATGAGGGCGGGGATCCAAACGCGGACGTCGCCGCGGAGGACGGTACTGGATCTGCAGCTGCTACGACAACCCGCGCATCCTCGACCACGCGAGGCAGGGGGCGGGGACGCGGCGGGAGAGCCGCAGCTACGACGAGTACACGGAAAACCACCACAACCACGGCAAAAACTACAGCCACGGCCGCGAAAAAGGCCGCCGCTACACCGTCAAAGACAGCTGCAGGTAAAGGCCGTCGTCGTCGCGCGGTGTCGGAGGATGAGGACGACGAAGAGGAAGATGTGATTATGCTTGACGATGACGACGACGACGACGACGACGATGATGCGGTATCCGGCCTGCCAGATATCCACGAAGAAGATAACGATGACGATGACTCCCAGGCTCTCTTTGTCAAACAACCTGCAACTCGGACACGGCGGGCAGCAGCAGCAGCAGCAGCAGCAGCAGCGGCGGCACCTCCAGCTACCACCTCTACAAAGACTATGACCACCAGCCAACGTCGCGCAGCCGCTCCGCCTGCAGCCTCAACCCGAGCCACGGGCGGGACGAGCACGCGCCAGACGAGAACCCGACAGCAAACCCAGACGACGCTGAATTTCGTGGGCTCGCAGAGCAGCGCTCCCCCAAGCACGCGGACGAGGGGCGCACGCGTGGCCAGCGAGGAAATCGACGACGACAGCGATGGGTTCGAGCCGATGGCGGTGCCTCGGCGGCGGTAGCCAGGGCCGTCTAGTCTGCGGACGTATTACTCGATAGAATTTAGGTTGGGTCGATTCCAGTGTAGCGTAATTCAGCATCAACGGCGCATCGGGGGACAGATTTTTCCAAATGGCATGGCGTTCTCCCAGGTTTCACCATCTAATCGATCTATCCAGCGCGGTTTCTCGAACTTGAGCGCCAACCAATTCATCAATTTGTAGCTCGTCTACGACGTAGGAATCCAATTATGAATTCAATCATGACGCTCCGCAGTAAACCCGGGGTGCATGGCGCGGAGGGGGGGAGGGGGGCTCCGAGCCCCGAGCCCCGAGCTCCAAGCTCCAAGCTCCAAGCTCAACGGTGCGGGCTCGCGAGAAGAAATGCCCAGTGGGCGGCAAGCGGTGGTTGATTGCAGCCAAGCTGGGCAATGGGCTGGCTTGCAGTGGGCGGGCACAGACGCACTATTGCTTGACCAGTCCGAACTAGCGGGTGGCCATTGGTCCCCCTTTTCCAGTCGGGTGAAGTTGCAGCCATGCTAACCAAGGTAGAGAGACGGGAAGACAAAGGTTTTATCTATGATTGTCGAAGTCAGAGTCAGAATCAGAGTCAGGTGTTGATCGAGTCTAGATTGATGATCGTTATCTTGGTGGTGGTAGTAGAGGTAGAGAGGGCAGGCCGGATAAGGGGGCGGGGTTGTCGGTAGGTAAGTTAGTAGGTAGGTAGGTTAGTTAGTTAGTAGTTATGGGAAAGAGGATGACAGAGGGTAAACTTTACCTTATTCTCATAAACCCACTCCCCTGGCAGCGCAGCAATCACTCAATATCCAATATCCAATTTCCAATAAAGTCAATCACACCATGGATCCATGATGGATGTAGGCTGCAGTCAACCGACCAGAACAAACGAATACGACATGGAAAGGGGAGTGAGTGCCCACTGCCCAGTGAGTGCAGTGAACCCTGCTGGGAGTGCTGGCCAATCTCCACAAGGCGAGTGGATCCAGGATCCAGGATAAAGCCATGAACTGCCGGAGAGTCCAAAAAGATGGACCCCCTGACGCTTTACTCAGTCGAGGAAAAGACAAACACCAACTCTCGCGCTGGCGGCTTGGCGAACCGAGATATGACCAGGAGAATTGCCGTTTTGGGTAACGTCCTCCAGCATCATGGATTATGCAGCATCTCAATTGAGCCTTCCAGCCTTCCAGCCTCCAGCCCGCTCCACTCCTCCAGCTTTCCCCGACTCGAGTCCTTCCTTGCCTGCACTGTCCGCACTATCTGCATCGCCTGTGCCTGCCATGGTTGATCCGCGCTTGCAGCTTGGGCCCGCCGGCCTCGTTCTTCTGCCTAGTCTAAGACGTCTCCATCCTCCCCCCCGGCCATTTTCCTCTTCTTCCTCTTCTCTCCCTCCTCTTTCTTCTTTCTTCTCTTCTCCAGGTGTTTCATCCCTCAGTCACTCGTTTCTTCAAACTCCACTCCACTGACCATAGTCTTTCGTTTCGGGATCAGGATTTCTGATCCCTCGCCCGTCGGCAATCATACCTATCTCCCCCCCCCCCTGAGTCACGTCACAATATCCAGTCCTTTACCACCTTTTCAAACACCGTAGAACGCCATGAAGTCCATTAGCGCAACTGCATGGCTTCTCATCGCCGGGGTCGAGGCCGCCAGTCATGCCCACCGTCATGGACACCACGCGGCCGTCGAAAGAGCCGTTCAGGCGACCAAGCAGACCGGCAGCTGTCAGTTTCCCTCGGACGCCGGCCTGGTGGCCGTCACCCCGGGCGAGCTGAACGGGGGCTGGGCCATGAGCCCAGACCAGGAGTGTACGCCCGGCGGATACTGCCCGTACGCCTGTCCGCCAGGGCAGGTCTCCATGCAATGGGACCCCGAGGCCACCTCGTACACTTTCCCGCTGTCGATGGTAGGTGTCCCCGCCAGCTCCGTGGCACGGACCACCAAACTGATCACGGCCTACAATAGAACGGCGGCCTGTACTGCGACGAGGACGGCAACATCCAGAAGCCCTTCCCGAAGAAGCCGTACTGCCAGGACGGCACCGGAGCGGTGAGCGCGAAGAACAAGTGCTCCAGCCATGTTTCGTTCTGTCAGACCGTCCTGCCGGGCAACGAGGCCATGCTCATCCCCACCTTGGTGCAGGAGCTGGAGACCCTCGCCGTGCCGGATGTCGAGTACTGGCTCGAGACTGCGGCGCAGTAAGTCTTTGTCTGAGCGAAGGTGGTGCATGCACTGACCGAAGCAGCTTCTACATCAATCCACCCGGCTATAGCACCGACACAGCCTGTGTCTGGGGAACTTCGTCGAGCCCCATCGGCAATTGGTCGCCTTATGTTGCCGGGGCCAACACCGACGCCTCGGGCAACACGTACGTGAAGATCGGATGGAACCCGATCTACCTGGAGTTGACGACGCCCTTCCGCGACGTGGTGCCCGACTTTGGCGTGGAGATCGAATGCGAGGGCGACAGCTGCAATGGACTTCCCTGCAAGATCGATCCGGATGTGAACGGAGTCAACGAGATGACGGGCTCCAGCTCGATCGGCGCCGGAGGGGCCGCGTTCTGCGTGGTCACTGTTCCTAAGGGCGAATCGGCGAACATTGTTGTGTTTGATAAGGCGGGCTCGTCTGGGGGCAGCAGCACTGTCAGCAGTGTTGTGGCCAGCAGCAGCTCAACCATCAAGAGCACCAGCACTTCAAGTACCTCGACCAGCACCAGCACCAGCAGCACCAGCAGTACCAGCACCAGCACCAGCATCAGCACCAGCACCAGCACCTCGGCTACTCCTACCAGTACCAGCACCAGCATCAGCAGCACCAGCACCAGCAGCTCATCCATCGTTTCCAGCACCAGTTTCAGTACCGCTTCTAGCACATCCATCGCAGACAGCAGAACCACCACCATCTTCTCCACCACCATTATCTTCAACCCCACGCGGATTCCCATTCAAGGCCCCTCATCGAGCGTGAAAGTGAGCCCATCTTCCGCCGCGGTCGCATCCGCCAGCTATACGTACGCGCCGCACGCTTTCGTTGAAACCGGCCACGTGCAGATGGAGGCGGTTGCTGAGAGTGCCAGCGAAACGGCTGCGACGCCGACCGTCATGACGGCGGCTCAAGGAGGCGCCAGCAGCAAGACGGTGTCGAGGCTGGGGTTGGTGTTGGCGGTGATTGGAGCCGTGCTGATGGTTTAGACTGCATGTCTGACCTTCATTTACTACATTAATTCTGTTTCTTCTTCACTTCACTTCGACAGGAACATTTTACCTTATATTATTGTATACCCTTATGATACGATGTTCTTGTATTTTATTGATTGATGAGTTTTATGTTAATATTAATCTTCGAGAGTGGTTGGCAATTGCATTGTTCGTGGGTACGACGTGAGTAAGAGTAGAATGTGTTGTGGGCCGTAAGGAGGAAAGTGAAGGAAGGGGAGATGACAGAAGAAGGGAGTATAACTATTCGTAGCAACGAAAGCAACCAAAACATCCGGCCTCGGAAATGCCAAGCGGGAGGGAGAACGATAGCGTCATCCACACCTCCGTCTCCGTATCTACAGCCATCTTCCGCTTCTCCGTCTTCCATCGCACTCTCTTTTTCGTGTACACACCACAGAACTGAAAGTCTGGAAGTCTGGAAGCCTCGAAGTCTCTCAAGATGCCTCCCTCCCCACAGACGGTACGTCTGCCTTTTTTTTTCCACCTTGACCATGAGCTTCAATCACCACCCCAAACCCAAACCCTTCCAAAAACAAACCCCCGCACCTCAAACCCCGCACCCAACACCAACACCAAACACCACCCCCGATCCCACCACCCCATCCTAACTAGGGAATGCAGACAAAACTAACCAGCACCCTCCACCTCCTCATCCCGCGCCTCCGCCTCCTCCAAAAAAAAGACACCGCCAGCAGCGTCATCCAGCGCCGCGACCTGTCAAGCCTCCTGGCCGAAGGCCGCGACTCGAGCGCCCGCATCCGCGTCGAGAATGTGATCGCCACCGACACCGCCGTCGAAGCCATGGAGATGGTCGAGCTGTACTGCGAGTTACTTCTGGCGCGGGCGAACGTGCTCGACCAGGCCGCGTTCGGGGAGAAGGGCGCGCAGGCCCGGAATCGCGCGAGACTGGCCGCTGCCGCTGCCGCTTCTGGTGGGAAGCATAGCGCCTCGGGGGAGACCGGAGGAAGTGGCAGTTTAGGCGGCAGGTTCTCGATTTTTGGGCTGGGGAAACACGCACCGTCACCGTCTTCCAACCCCCCCGGCGAAGCGGAGCAACCCACCACCACCACCACCACCACCACATCAGACAACGGTACGCACGCGGCAGCGGCAGGGCAAGAGGAGTACATCGACGCCGCCCTCGACGAGGCCGCGGCGGTGATCTTCTACGCGTACCCGCGCTTCCCGCACGACGTGCGCGAGCTCACGATCCTCCGGAACCTGCTGGGTGAGCGGTGGGGCAAGGAGTTCATGGCGCTGGCGCAGGAGGATGCCGTGCCGGGCGTGCGCGTGCCGGCCCGCGTGGTGAAGGTGCTGCGCGTGCGCGCGCCGTCGGCCGAGTTGGTGGATTGTTATCTGAGGGAGATTGCGCGGGCTTATGGCGTTGCTTGGGGGGGTGGGGAGAATCTTGTTGAGGGGGGTGGGGAGGTGCCGACGATTTCCGGGTTGGATGGTGGTGGTGATGGTGATGGTGATGATGGTGATGATGCCCCCGGCGATGGGGATGGGGATGAGGGAGATCCGTCAACACCGATACGCCGACAGCGCTCGCCGGTCGAGAGCGAAGCGCGCCGGGCTTCCGAGACCCTCGCGCTCAATCAGGCGACGCCGCCCAGGGGCTGGCAGCAGGGGAAGAGCTTCGTGAGTGTGGCGCCGCCGGGGCCCAGGGTGGATAATTTGCATCCCCGCGTGAGGGTGCCCGGGGATGCGGATTATCCGCCCTCAACGACGACGACGGTGGGCGAGGCTGGAGTGCCTGCCAGTGGGGCGAAAGCGAAGAGTGAGATACCGGAGTTGGATGAGTTGACGAGGCGGTTTGCTGCGCTGAGGCGGTAGTTTGGCTTACACGTGTTTTTGGGACCGGTGGTGGTGGCGGTGGTGGTGGTGGTGGTGGTGGTGGTTACGTTCGTGTGCATACTTACGCTGGTTTATTATACCTCATGGTTTGGGACTGAATCTATTGTATTCGTCCTCTATACTCCCTCCCCTTTTTTCCGTCATCCACGCGTAGCAACACGCGTACAACAAGCAAAATGCAACAGGTATCAGTAGCGAACGCTCATAAACAAACCAAATATGCAAGCATGCGACAGCCCGTATATCCAGAACACCATCATCCTGAACACGGACGCATGTAATTATATACAGGAAATATCAACAAGCAAAGAGATTTAGACCAAAAACTCGAAAACCGAGGCACTGCTACTCCTCCTCCTCCCCCGGAAGAATAATCTCATGCCCCGACCCTTCATACACGAAAATCGCCGCCACGCAGCCGAACACCGACACCAGCGCCACCAGCCACCAGGCGAAGCCCACCATGCCCATCTCCAGCCCGTACCCGTACCACGACCCCGAAAAGATCGGCCCGATGGTGCGGAAGGCAGACGACACGGACTGGCCAATCCCATGAATGGTGCCCAGCACGGACGGGTGCGGCGAGCAGTTGTTCAGCAGGATGATCGAGGTCGGCAGCGTGAAGGTGCGCGCCGTCACCTGCAGGAACAGCACCACGATGATCGAGAACCACACCCAGCCGCCGTTGGCCTGGCCCGGCGGCGGCACCGTGGACGGCGCCAGGGCGATGTACGGCGCAAACGCGTACGCCAGGGGGAACAACGTCAAAAAGTACTGGTAGCTCTTGGCCGTGCCCAGGCGGCCGTTGATGCTGGGGTAGATGGTGAACTGCAGGAGCATGCCGATGATGCCGAGGATCGCGGTCGCGAAGCCCACGCTCTGCGGCAGCATCCCCAGGCCGCCGGTGAAGACGAACGGCAGCTTCTGCAGGGGGCTCGTGGGGTCGTTGGCGTCGTAGCGCGGCGTCGAGAGGAACAACAGCCACAGGTTGTTGAAGGCACTGTGTCATGGTCAGATCGATGTCGTATGCAACACAACCGCAGAAACATACCCCATTTGGAAGTCGAAGAAGGCCTGCGCCAGGAGCGTGCACAGCACGTTCTTGGTCCAGATCCGACGGAAGGGCAAGCTGCGGCTTTGGCGAGTGTGTTTGCTGGCCTTCTCCTCCATCTCGTAGCTCTCGGCCGTATCCCGGCGGCCCAGTAGAGGGCCGGCCTCTTCGTAGTCGGCGAACGGCAGCCGGTGATACAGCGGGGAGGACGAGGGCACCACGGCGCGAACACCGCGCGCGAAAATCCGCATCGAGAAGACCCCCAACCCGGGTTTGCCTTTACAAGCCTCCAAGGTCTGCAACAATTAGTGTTGAACCACACTGCCAAGAGCCAGCCACTTACCTCTTCCAGACCAATGGCGACACACGCCGCCGCGAACGACAAGAAAATGGCGTTCGCCAGCATGGGCAAAGCGTAGGGGTAGCGGATCAGCCACTGCACGCCGTTGGCACCGCCGAACGACGAGTCGGGCCCAAATAACCGGGGATACGCCTTGACCGGATCGGCCAGCATCCCGCCCATCACTATCATACAACCATTAGTCAACCCACCCTCAAGAATCCTAGTAGACAGGCGCCACACTCACCGGGACCAAACAAGGCGGCCACATTAAACCCGATTGGTAGAATCAAAAACGCGCGCGAGTGGTACTTCTTCTCCTTCACATTCTCCGCGATCATGGTCCGGATGATCCCGACAGTCCCATTGATGGCCCCGCCGAAGGAGCGCCAGAACACGGCCTGCGCGAACGAGGTCGCGAAGGCGACCCCCAGGCAGGACAAGGCGGTGCCCAGCAAGCCCACCAGCAGCACGAACTTCCGGCCACCCCACTCCGCATCGGCCACCCGACCCCAGGGGATAGCGGTCGCAAACTGCGCGGCGGTGAAGGCGCCCTGCAGGATGCCGGCCTGGGTGGACACATCGGCGTCGGACAGGTTCTCGTCGAAGGACTTCAGCTGATAAAACATGTAGGCCTGCAGGGAGGCAATCTGCAAGAAGTCGAAGACACGGCAGAGCCCCAGCAGCGCGAGCTGGCCCTTCTTCGGCAGGGACATCCAGGTCACCGGAGCGGGGCGCGAGATGGGCGCCGCGGAGGGCGCATCGGCCAGTTCTTGAGGTCGCAACATCGCGGTCTGTGATTGACTGTGGGAGCGACTGCGGGCATGGCCCCAGTCGAGAGAGGTGTTCCTCGAGGCCATGTTGTGGGAATCGTGGTCGTAGTCCTCGTAGCGGCCGGAGGAGCCTTCGGAGACGTCGGCTAGCGAGAGGTTGGATTCGCGACGACGACGTTGTTGGTGGTGGTGTTGTTGGTGGAGCGGAAAATTGGCAGAGGTCGAGGACGAGGGTTCGCCGCCTTGGTCGTGGCCGGAAGTCCACGAGGTAGCTCTGGTATGACGGGCAGCATGCCGGTTCTTGGTGGACTGGGCGAAGGAGGTGGAAGTCGCAGAGAGGGGATTGGGGGTTGTTGGTGGGAGAGGCGAAGCGATGGCGGAGGATGATGTGGAAGTGGCCGTAAGAGGCGGCGCGGCGTTAAGCGTCAAGGATGGTCGCCGGCCGGTTCCTTGGGATGCGGTTCGTGGGACGGGCATCGGCGCGAGTTGTGATAGGAGGATAGACAGCAGGAATGTCAAGGGAAAGGAACCAAAAAGACGCAAGGAGGGGCCAAATGGGTCAGTGGGTTATAGTCTAAAGGTCGGTCGGAGACCCGGACGGTAAATACTGGCTGCAGCTGCAGCAATGAGAGGAATCAATTCGGTGAAAAGAGTGACAGTGACGATGCTGATGATGGCAGCAGAGCAGATGCAAAGAGCAAGAAAAGTCCAGTACAAAAGAGAGAGTGAGAAAGAAAGAAAGATAGAAAGAAAGAAAGAATAGAATTAGAAACTAAACACACGATCATCGAACACGAAACAGCTCCTCCATCGCCTTCAATTGCTTGATTCGGGGGTGGGCGTGGAAATGAACTGAACTGAAATGAACCGGGAGTGAAATGAAGCGATGTGACAGACAGACAGTAAAGGGATAGAAACTGCAAAATCTCAATACCCAATACGACCGAGAGTACCAGGTAAATTACAGCGTAGCCGAAAAAGGCTTGCGACGCAATTCTCCACCCTCCAGGCTTGGCACCCGAGCATTTGGTCTCCACTATCATCACTGAGTTATGCAATACATATGAGGTGTACAAACCATTGATTATTGTTATGAGTACGAGGATTCCCTCTCTTTTTTTTATTCGATATTATCATCTAAATCATCTCACTCTCTCCTCTTCACCGCAAAGGCACCACAAAAAAAAAAAAAAAACCTACCACCACCCAAACCGCAAAAACGGCCAATACGCCTCGCCCTCCACGGGCACCGCGAGCGGCGGATGGCCCCAGTACGGCATGAGCGTGTTCTCATACCACTCCTGGAGCAGCCAAAAGTCGTGGGAGGTGCTGTGCTCGACGCGGCCGCCGATCTCGACGGCGAGGATGTCGGGCCCCGTGACGCGCTCGGCGCCGACGCACTCCTTGTAGTGGCGCGCGACGCCCGCGCATTGGATCTTGCCGAAGACGGCCTCGGCGGTGGGCTTGCTGATCCGCTCGCCCTCGATCTCGAGCCGCAGCTGCTCCTCGTAGAAGGCCCAGTCGTGCCGGTCCATCAGCTCCTGGGAGACGGTCACCACCACGAAGACCTGCTCGTGGTCGCGGTCGCAGTACCCGTGGCGGCTCAGGTAGTGCTTGGTGAAGTGGCCGTAGATGCCGTCGTCGTGGCGGACGGCGTGGTCGGGAAACGCGGGTCGCATTCTGGCGGATTCTACCGGGGACAGTTGCCTCTACGTGTAGTACTTACTTACTTGGGGTGTGAGTTGTTACGTTGGAGGGGGGGTGGGTTGTGGGGGGATTGAATGTGTAGGTGTAGTTGTAAATTGTAGTTGTATTTATAGAGTGACAGGGCCCAGTGACGATGCCGGTTATGCTCATTGAGTTCTATTGTCTATCGAAGCATTGATGCTAATCTGCTGGCGATTGTCGACAAAGGAGGTTGTCGTCAAGCGGTTCAACAAAGCGGGCAGGGATATCCCTCTATACTTGGTAGGCGATCTCCGCTGACAGTCGATAATACTCGATTCGAGAACAAAGACCAATCTCACCTGCAATTGTGTACCTTAGTATACCCCAACTGTTGGCCCAATCAATACCCGAGGGATGACACAACTGAACGTCCAACCTCTTACGCAAGTCCATACGTATGCCTGCATGGATGACCTGCTTCCGTTCCCTATCAGACCTTCTGTCTTATGCACGAGGCAAGGCCTATTCCGGGGTTGGGTGGATCATCCACCCCCATGACGAACGGATTGTGGCTCAGACCTCGGGGTAAGGTGTTGTCATCACATCTTAAGTCCGAGGCACTCTGCCCAATATGAGAAGACTCGTATTGTATCCTGCCATATGAATCATGGATCATATCGAACGATTCTAATATCTACTCTAGGAGTCGAAAACAAAAGCTGCTACCGTTCTATATGCCCTCCCTGCTGCCATGCTGAGCCCTGTCCCTCGGCCAGGGGCGTATACCGCGGCAGCTGTCTCCCTACGAATCGACGCCAATGCCACCAGGGAAGCTCGTCCGCTTCCACTGAGTGCGGGGTCCGTTCCATTTGATCTAGATGCTCCGTGGAAGCGCGCTCCTTAACCCGGCTGAGGTCCTGCTGCCGTCGCCGGTAGACCCGATGGATCGTGTAGATAGCCGCCACCGTAACCACAAACCCGAAGACCGGGGCAATCCACCCTACATTGTCTAGACTCGTATCAGCATCACTTTCGGTCATCTTGCCAGCTAGAAGGTCAAACTTACTGTAGGCCTTATCTGAACTGTGCGCCTCCGCCTCCTTTCCCTCTCCCTCGGACTGCTTCGTCTGTCCCCAGTCGTACAAAGTGTCCGGATGACCAGGCTCAACCCAAGGCACGGTGATAATCCCAGCCGGCGGGATCGCGGGCCCAGCGCCCTCCTCATTCGGCATGCCATACGACTGGGCATTCTCGCACGCATCGGTCGCACAGAAGTTCTGCAACTCCGCCGACGGGACAAATGTGAACAGGCTCCGCGACTTGCCCAGCACTTGACCCTCCACGTCGACAGCTTCGGCGTAGGTCCACTGGTAGAACTCGCCCGCCGTGTAGCTCGTCTCGAAGCCGTCCTTCGCGACTTGCTTGATCAACATGAACGGGCCGGTGGCGTTCTGCGCGCCGTAGAAGCGCCAGTACTTCACGCGGGTCGCCCCGTTCCAGCTGACATAGAAGGTCGTCGGAGCGTACGTCTCGCTCGACTTCGCGTAGGTCCACATGGCCGGCACGTCGGTCGGATTGCCCTCCCACTGGAACTTTTGCGCGCGGTAGTTCATGATCCGATCCTTGTCAATGTATCCCCACAGGAGAAGATTGCCTTGCTCGTCATGCTCGGAAATGTAGGCGTTGTTGCCCCACCCGATGAACGCGTTACCGTTCGGCAGAACCTGCAAGTTGCCCTGGCTGGAGCTGATCATGGTCTTACCCGGCGGTGCATACTCCAGCAGCTGGGTCGCGGTGTTATCGCGGTGGTCGATCAGGATGATCATGCCCGAGGAATAGTCGTGCGTCCGGTTGAAGCCATTGAAGCCGTTGTTGTAAAGTGACAGCAGCGTGTGGGTGGCGTTTTCGCTCAAGAAGCGGGCATCGTGTTGCTGCGAGAAGCTGAAGTTGATGTTCTTGAAGGAGGGGTTGGCTCCGTGCAACTGCCAGATCACCGAGCCGTCTTGGCCGGAGATCTTGTAGATCGCGCACGTGTGGCGCGAGGAAATCAGATAGTCGCCCTCGCTGTTCTTATCGATGGAATTGATGTGGAAGTAGTCCCAGGGCGAGCGCGGGTCCAGCCCAGTGCCCGAAGTGTCCGTGTGGCTGGGCCAGGTGTAGGCCGCTGACGGGTCAACGTGGTCAAGCGATTTCCACTCGAATAGCACCTCGTTGGTCTCGACGTCAACTTCCTGGAAGACACTCTCCATCAGCCACCCCATGCCCGTCTTTACGTTCCACAAACTCAAATCGAATTGCCGCTGTTGGTAGACGGTCAACAGAGCAGTCTTGCCGTCGTTGATGGGCTTGAACTCGTGCATATCGCTGGATGCCATGCCTCCGCCGGGGACCACAGTGCGGACGATCCGATAATTGCTGTCCATGATCACGCCATGGCCGCGACAGTACCCGTTCTGCTGAACGCCCTGGAAGAAGCAGAGATGGTCTTTACCCTGGTACTGGCAAACATGCATGCCATGAGCGTTTCCAGGGCCGGAATTACCCCATCCGCTCCAGACTAGATTCTACAAGTCATTAGCAGATGCGGCCGGTCGGTCTTTCATGACGGACACATACCCCTTCGTCATCATAAATATACGGCCCCGAGTTGGCTGCCTCATAAGGGCCCACGAAGATATAGCCCGGGCTGAGCTTGTCGGGGTTGCGATGTTCCAAGGTGAGGACAGGCGGGTAGAGGTCGGGTCTCTGCGACGGTCGTTGACACAAGGTTAGTGATCCGCATGGCGAACATCTTGGCTTTATGGCGTGCACGCCGCTGCCACAGCTACTATAAATGCTTACCGATTTGAAGACCGAATCCACCTCCGCCGTGACTGATGGTAAGAATATTACAAGTATAGCCAGGGAGATCAGTAAGAAGGACGGAGCAAAGCCGCTCGGGTTGCGTATAGAGCCGATCATCGATCCTTCAGCGGTGCATCCGTCGCACCCAGTATGTGTGGAAAACAAGGAATGCGATGACAAAATCGAGGACGAGAACAAGGAAAGAAAAGAAGATTCGTGATTGTCCAACCTTGAAAGCAGAATACAGTCTCAACTTCCAGAGAGCGACTGAATGCAAGTCAACTCAACCACGCCAAACGCAACGCCAGAACAGCCAGGGGACGAGAGAGAAAGGATTAGTAAAAAATCATGTTTCCTAACTTGATAAGAAGTTTACAGCGGATACGCTGGGAAAGCAAAGCCTGTGACCGTCCGTCCGAAACTCCCACGCACGAACATGCAAAGCTCCAGAGTGGCAGGCCAATGCGAGGCCGCGAATACTGGGACCGAATGCTTGAGCGCATCGACTTCTTGGGCCGGCGACGTAAGTGGAGGCTGCCAAGCATCGCCAACGTACCTAATCACTGCCGAGACAGGATCCACTACTGCTTGGTCGTACGTATGTCGGTCATGGTTTATTGCGTTCTTGCAGCTGGTGGGTGGGATCAGGATTTGTCGGGTTCTCTTCGAAGAGCATCGACGATATGATTCATAAGATTGAATGCATCTTCGTTGCGCATCGACCGATCACCTCCGCAGAGCCATTTTTAGGTGTGATAGTCAAGCATCATCCACGTTGAAGATCTTCCTTCCTGGACCAAAGAAGCAGAAAGGCTCGTGGAGGAGGGTTTGTCAAGACGAGTCTCAGGAGAAGCCCTCCGTTCTGCAAATCAGTTGATTGTCTGTCTTGCGCGGTTCGGACCTAAGAATAGTCCTTCATCTGTTGTTGTCGTCGTCACCTCAATCCCACGATTTCCCCTCCCCGCGTTTCAGCGCTTAGAATCAAATCACAACTCGGTGACTTGACCAGTAAATCCCAAACCAGCGCCAATGAGACCTGGAAACACTCAACCAGTACAGCTCCTCACCGACAAACCACGATATCCAACAATGATACATCCGAACATTGCGAGGCTTGCGGTATCTCCGACACAGACACAGGAAGGTTGGTTGATAACGAACAACCCGAACTTACCGGGCCCTCACCCGAATACTCATAACTTACTCGTACCTTAAGGACAAGTAAATCCTTACCGAAACAATACCAGTTCCCGCCTAATCCCCGGGGTAAGTTTTATCCCAACCCAGGCCGGGCTGGGCCGGGCCCCCCTCCCCTCCCCCTGTCCGATAATCTGTAACACCACTCAAACCTCCTAAGTTCCAACCAAGTCAACCAACCCTTAACTTAACCCTCTTTCTGTCCTTTATGTTTTCTCCTTTCAAGGATCAAACAAAATCCACCACGTACGTAGTCAGTAGTATGCACGGCTTTCCCAAATCCCGCTCAGTCATCGACTCACCATCCCCTTTAGCGTCGAGACTTAATCTACTGTGTACGCGCCCGCCAAGCCTCGAACCGTTTCCCGAACAGCCGGTCGCAAGGGGAAGCGCGCCGCTGCCCGCCGCCCGCCGCCCGCCGCGTCACGCCGCCACGGGACGATGGCTTAGAGAGCTTCGGGGCACAAATTTTGGGTTGGCGAGCGATTGCGTAAGTGGAGAGCCCGGATTGCGGTTAGTGTTGCGGAAGGAGTCCAATTGCTCTTTGTTGCGATTGAGGTAGACGTTGTAACTTAAAGGAAAGGGTTTGCTGTAGTGTTTCGTCGATGTTTCCTGTTTCCTCTTGTCTGGAGGGCGCTGGGACGCTGGGACGCTGGCGTTACATAGGACTTTGACTACCTGGGTATCTTTGGGCTTTCTGAATGAGGTACGGTGGGTGGTATGCAGAACCTTGAAGGTAGCAGCCGTCTGGGCTATGGATGCTACTGGACTGCACTTGGATCAGACCACGGATAGGTTGGAAGTATTGTTCTTGCTACCGATGCGCCCGCCCATCTTGTGTCTCTGCTCAAAAGAAAAAGCTACAGTGGTTGACCTGTTTATACTGAGCAGCAGCTGTCCTACCTAATTGAGTGATGGGTGCAGCGGACGTCAGCATGCTTCGAGTCGCTTGGCATTGTGATTAAGCTCTAGCTACGACTACTTTCCAAAGGTGCAACAAGTGCAGGGCGTCGTTGGCTGGGTTGCCAAGGCCAGGAAGGATGCACGCACCCTGTAGGGCGCGCCGGGGGGCTGGCCCGCTGCATGCATGCATGCATGCCGAGACCATTTGTCCTACCGTCCACAAATGAACGGAGTACTATACTGTACTGTTGTTATGTACTGCAGGGACAAGACAGTGATAAGGGAAAACATGCGATGTGCAAAGAATATTGAGTTCATTCCATTCCGATCGGCGCCCAGTGATATCAGCGACTACCTTCATACTATGTAGTTGAGCGAAAACCAAAAGTGCCGTCCGCCCAATGCTTTTTCCTTGCCAATATCCCGTCTAATCAGTCCGTACATAAAAGTCCTACCATTGCCCAACACAAATAAAAAGAAAAAAAAATCTCACAAGTGATAGAATCACGCATTATAACAATAATCCAACCCTGGATCTGAGGGTCGGTACGCTCATCGGTATATGATAATCAAAACACACAAAACAGAAACCTGCGGCGATCGGCGGCCAGCGCACACCACAGGATAAACACGCAAAGTAACAAACCACCCTCTACCGAGAGAAGCGCTTGAAGGCCATGGTGGCAGCCAAGCCGGTGGCCAGGATAGCTCCACCCATAGTGAATGCCTGGAGGGCGGCGTTCAGCATCTGGCGCCTGTTGCGGGAGCGGCAGCGCTTGAAGAAGTCGGCCATGTCGTTGCCGCGGGGGAAGGGGGTGTCAGGCACCTCCTCGCCCAGGAATTCACAGAGCGGGCCCCAGCCCTCGCCAATCTGGTACTCGAGCAGTCTCTCCGGGGGCACCAGGCTGCGGACCTCCTCCACGTGATCGAGGTACACCTGCTTGCCCTGGTTGGGGAAGTCGCCCCGGAAGAAGGTCTGGAAGAACTTGTTGAGCATGGGGTAGTACATGCTGGCGGCCCAGCTGAAGTTCGAGACGAATCGGTGCTCGGGATCCGACACACGCCACCAAACGGTCTTCATCACGGAACTGTAGCATGACAGATTAGCGGGGTGCCCGGCTGGAAGGTGGGATGGAATGGAACGTACGCGTGCCAAGACTCGACCTCACGGGTGGTCAAGATGACCTTGGCGTTAGGGTAGGCCTCAATCAGCTCCTTAGCAAAGGCGCAGGCAGGCCAGTCGCACACGGCCTGGCAGTCACCCAGAAGCTGATCCCACTCCTTTCTACCGAACTCGCCCACGCCGTCGTACTTGGCGCTCAGAGCATCGTGCCACATCAAGCAGTCTGGCGGGTTCTCCATGCTGGCGGACATCATGTGGTAGGTCTTCATGTAGCCAAGGCGCTCAAGGGCCTTGCGGAGGGCTGTTGGGAAGGTGCAATGTTAGTGGCGCCGGCCATTGACGGTGTGGCTTGTGGAATGACACGTACAAGCTGTTCCCGTTCTTCCCACACCCAGGGCAAGCACCTTCATCGGCACCGTCCGGTGGCACTGCCGTCTATCGATGCAGGTATCCTCGGTGAAGATGTCGGTCCATGGCTGAGGAGCCAGGTTGTCGGAGTGAACCAAAGACATGGTTGAGTAGGAGAAATCTAAATTAGAATGTGTTTATAGGTACGATAAGCCACGGCAAGATAATAGGCCTCAGCGGCGGCGATGGTAGTGATTGTAACGAGAGTCTTTGATATTAACAAGACCGGAGTGAAACAAGGAAAGAAGCGTCCAGCAAGACAGGTCAGACCGGACAAATAAAGATAAGATCACACGAGATGAAGCTGAGAAGGGAGAGAAGAAAGTCGATGTTGAACTGGCGATGGCAGGACATTAAAAGGAGAGTGCGGGTAGATCAACGCGCATCCAGACCCAACAGTCAACTTGCAATGGACTCGTCGTATGTGGTGGAGGATAAGAAGCAGAAAGCTTACTAGTGCCGATGCGGCAATCAATTACTCCCAGATCCACTCTGGAAAAGTCAGAAAGAGGAAATTCACTGCTTCTCGAATAGATGACGAGCAGATTGTGAGTGGTTGATGGCAATCTGTCTTCTCCATTTTTAGATTGATTTCGTAACAGAAAAACTGACACTCTTTTTTTTTTCTTTAAGGTTCGTAAGGGCAACGTAAGAAAAAGAAAATGAAAAAGGAAAAGAAAAAAGGTACGCGTGGGAACCATTGTTCCAGTGCGAGCCATCAATCGAGCTATCTACTCCGTACTGGTACTTGGTAGGATGAGGTAACAGGTGTATTTGCAATACAGCCTACTGTTACACCTCCGTCTACCACCCCGTCGAGCCATGACGGCTAAGACCTTGAATGGAATTCTATTGTTCTTTCCATTATTGTTCCCGCCCGCCCCCCACTCACGTTCTGGATCGTCTCTGCCTCTTCACAACAGCTTTCCCCCCAAATGAAGGGGGAGGAGAGAGTGTGACACCCAAGGGAAAATATTGTCCGCAATTGCAGCATGATGATAGACATACATACGACACATACGACACATACCCAGAATAAAAAAGCATACATATGAAACAGATCCAAAAAGCAACAGTTGAGACAATCAGGCACAGATCACGCAGTGTCAGACGTCACCGGCTGACGTTCTCTCGTCCTTCCCCCTCACCATCCTTCTTCCTCCCTCGATACAAAGCAAAGATAGTCAGGGGTCGGCGGTTTGAGCTGCTCGCCTACTTGACCAGCCATGGTCCGCAGTTACTCCGTCGCCAAGAGTTTAACGACCTCTGTGCCATTCAGAAGCGAGGGCAGGGAGACGGATATCCAAGGAAGTGTAGCCGCAAGTGCCAATTCTCCTGGTGGGGCACATGTTGTTCCAGCAATGCGACTGTGAGTCTGTGACAGAAATTTGAAAACCAATAAACTGTTTCATGGACCAAGAAACTGGAGAAGTGCCAAGCCTCGCTGCCGCGAACCCAGCAGATCGGCCGCGTAGCCCCTCGTTTCGCTGATCGCTGGAACAGCAGTCTCATGCTTCACTTGGCCATCAGCGCCCTGTCGCCGGCGCGAGAGAGTCTGGAAGCTCTGTCCTCCTCAGTCGGGCCGTGCCCTTGCGCCCGTTGATTGGTGGTCTTGCCGCATGCGACGCGTACATTTCTCCGTCATGCAAAAACGATGATGGATAAACGGGATCCACGCCGTCGAATCCATACGTTGCCAGCCCCCTTGTCGTCATCATCACCAAGCACCAACAAACAGCCTGTAAAGGCCCGGTCTAGTCTCCGCGCCATACCGCACCAAGCCGCAATCTTGAAAGGGATACGAGCGAAGTCTGAAGTGCTGGAACGTCTTCGATCTTGATTTCCCCCACATCCAGCAGGGTTCTGTAAAGGGGAACCCTGCGTTGCTATTCAGGGCATCCGACTAGGTTGGTCGGGTCACGGGTGGGAAGGGACTTGAGCTCCTAGTCGCTCTGGATGTGCCATGGCAAGTTTGAGGGACGATCGAAGAGTCGTTGTCCACGCCTGATGAAAACACATGTTCCGCAAATACTCGAATGAAGTCCATGGAGAATTTCTAAGAACGCTGGGGTAGATCAGCGAGCTTCGCGAGTCACACCGGTCCGATCATTCCCTTTTCGTAGTCGTAAGAGTGCAGGTGCAGTAAAATCCTCAGTTGCTGTTCCTCCACCACAAACGTTTGGCGGCACATCAACAGCATACGAAGCATTCATCAAATTAGGACCCCGCAATATAAACTTGCCGGGCAGTTGTACCTTCGGCCATATTCATGGTGCAATGCCCATGTCTATGGCTGCTGCTACTCAGGCCGTCACTCGCAGCATCTCGACACTTCGAGTTCAGTCATGAACTGTACCTTCCAGGGTCAACGATAGCCACTCCTTCGGAGACCACAATTTCTCCGCCCAACGGCCTCTTCCAGCGGAGTCCTGCTCCTCCGTGCGGCTGGGTTAGACGCTTAACCCACTTTGCCTTCGTCTTCATGGCAGAACCACAGCTGCCGTTGATAAGCCTTTGAGCTATCGATCGTCCGCCACAGGACCCGTGCACCAAAGGATTGCGACTGCTCCCACGAGACCAGTGGTAGGCTTCACCCTTTGTCCTATTCGCTGAAACTTGAGGGTTGCCATCCTGGTAATCGGACCATGTACCGGTTCCAGAAGGCCACAATTAATCACAGCGTATTTCGACCGGCTCGACAACCTTGTCACACCGACGTTGCTGCTAGACCATGACTCTATCAAAAACCGTAACTTGGTCCATGACTCCATGTAATAGAACCACTTGAACTTGATCAAAGTCAAACACACTTACACCCGATGGAGTCTGCGTCAGTGGCTGCTGGTTGGTGATGGGAACCCGCTGGTCGGCCTAGAAGAAGGTTGCATCCACACTTGCTCAGGCCCAGACGATCCTGGATCCATTCATGATTTGAGCTTCCTCTCTTACGGCCACAAGCAGCAGCTCTATGGCCACGCATCAAGCTCGAGAGTTGCAAATTTCACGCTTCAGATTCTGGTTTCAATTTCACATTTCCGCTGTAACTTTGGACCGAGAAAAGTTAGCCGTCGGCTAAAACTTCCCCAGCCATGACTAAAGCACCACCAGAACGGCCTTCCATCTGATAAGGTGAATTTCAGGAGAAGTTTTTGATCGTAGCTTTCTTCTTCTTCACCAAAGATAGACATTTGTTTCCAAGTCGTACGAATCTGTTTCTTTGACTCAATCTCTCCATTTCCTCGCGGATTTGTCTGTACCGCTTCAAAACAAGTAACCAAGCCCGATGTGGCGTGACGTTTCGTGCTCTCGGAGGTCGGGGACTATCGATTTCTGCAGAAGTGGAGTCAAGCCCCATTTTGATAGTCACCCGCCCAGTGGATCCACCCACCTATCAATCAGCCCAGCTGCAATCTCCCATGAATGAATCGTCGTAAGCCCCCCATCACACCGGTCTGTATCAGCCTACGTGTCAGGGGGTGCCGGTCACGGCTTGGCAAGGCGGTTGAACCGATAGAGAAGCACGATGGGGGGCGGGAGGGGGTCAATCCATGGAAAGGACCATCGGCTCAAATTTCCATCCGTCGTGGTCGGGATACGTAACGGCTCAGGGTCAAGCCTATCACGGCTCGAGGACGAAGCGAGAGCCAAATGAGCGGGAAAGTATGATTGTTGAGCACGCTCGTACAGTTGATGAGGATCATCCTTGGCGAGTGCAGTACCTGCTACGGAGGACGGGCCGGCGTTTGATCAGCATCGAACGAAGGAGACGGACGGGACAATCGTGTGGCAAGTTGGCAACTGAGGCGAGGCAGGCTGTGTCTGTTACCGTGTGTATTGCGTTGTTGAGGACGATACGTGCCATGATTGCCGTCTCCGCGAAGGTAGTCACTCGTATAGGAAAGTAGAATAGCCCACTTAATGGGTCTACTTCTAGGTCGTCAGACTCATAGTTGGCGGAGCGTTTGCTGGGACGATTCTCATCATCATCAAGGGTGGAAAAGAGCTCGTGAAGACATGTGACAGGAAGAAGGGACGAGGGTGTGAAGTTCCGACAAGGAAGGTCGGCTCTGTTGTCGGGTGTGCCGTGCTACACTTGTGGTAGAGGACCTGATTCGAAGGACATTCATAAACAAGTTTGAGGCAGCGTTTCCAGTTTGATGCTGCATCAAGTCGAACAAAATCAAAATTAAATCCATCATGCCTGAAGGGTAGGGCTCATTAAGTATACCTTGCCAAGAGCATGTCACCATCGCCGGGGAGTTGCTCGCAATCGATCCCCACGATCACCTCATTTGAAAAACAGTAAGCTGAACCCCCTTTTTGCTTTAAGTTAATAGCGCTGGTGCCGTCAAATGGATTGAAGCGAACCTGCCCTTGGATCTGAGACAATCAGATAAGCTTAATTGCGCTGCTGGCATGGTGCAGTGAGTGGTCCGGTGTCAGCTGTGAGATGTCTCGGATGATCCGCCTGTCGAGCATCACGGCAGTCATTCTCGGCTGTTGAAACCCCAGGCAGCAACCATTCAACTGACCTCGCCAATTTTGACCTCGTTTTTTTCAATCATGCAGGTCTGAACCCTGAAAGCTCCGCTGGGGACCCTGAAAATGGCCCTGAAACTGGTTACGAAGATAAAAGGAACACACTAAGGGCGCTTGCATGTACTGCATATCTTGAATCGGCCACAAAACACAACACATGCTTTTTGCGTAGGGAATTAGAATTTGTACATTAGATACCGCCCTGAGGAAGTTTCAGACGAGCGCTAGAGGTATGTAACAGTGCAGGAGGGAAAAAAACCCCCCGCATAAAAGAACCAAATCCAAGAAAGCCCTAACTCCTGTGATGACCATAGCCCGTGGTCATATATGCAACTGAAGCCAAATCGAAGCCGCACAGGCATGGAGCAAGATTTCATTTGCCTCCACACCCTCTTGCAGTCCACCCTTCTCGATACTGCTTTCTCCTCATTCCAGTTTGTCCAAGTGTTCCAGCCTCGTGAGTACGACCTGCTTGCTCGTCTCCTCGATTTCACCCGCAAGGAACACCTCGTCCAGAATAGCATATACCTGTATGAAACTCCGTTAGCCGCGAGTGGTTCTCCGATGAGCCAAAGGCACGACCGCTTCCACCAGCTTGCCCTCCCTCCATGCCCAGGTCCGACCCCCGAACTATAGCTGACATCGCACACACGCACCTTGTAGAAGTTGAACACCAAATCTAGCTCACAGACGTTTCCGAAGAATTGGTCCAGAACCTCGACGAAAAAGTGAATAGCCTCCAGGTAGGCCAACTCATTATCAGTTGCGTCGACACAGGCACAGAAGAACAACCCCGCATATCGCCGGTATACGATCTTCGTACTCCGCTTGAACTCAACAAAGTTCGACTGGTATTTTTGGTCTCTCGGGGCTACCAAGCGATGGACCTGCATTCAGCAATGGTTGGTAAGCTATCGCTCAACGGCCGCTACGTGGGATGCGGGGGGCAAGCTGCCATGACAATCCGATATGACGTACCTCGCCTTTCAGCTTGACCTTCTCTTCGTCCTGCAGTAAGTCTTTCAGTAAATGATCCAGTGCAGCCGCCACAGAGTTCGGGAGACTTACGCTGTACGGAGCGTACCATTTGGCAAGCCGCGTCTTCCCCCTGTCCGGTCTCCTGTCAGCTCTTGAGTTCTGTTGGGTGAGGAATATTAGCTGGGCGCTTACTGGCGATTCTGGACAAGAATAAATGATAGGACCATCCTGTCTAGTTTGTTATGTGGATGTCCTCCGGAAAGAATGAAATGATGCTGCAGCTTAAGCTGTTACATCTATCTGTCTCCGCTTGCGTCCCCGAGGAAGTGCGGGACGGACTCAATATTGCCGGGCCTCACCGCCTAAGATTGGAGATCAATTTGAGGCCGACAGTGCGAACTTCACAAGCTGATTCTTGTCTAGGTTTTGTAAAATCCATTGTTTCGACATATAACTCTTACATCGATACAGTCTCCCATATGCTGCTTTGGGACATGGGCAATTGATGCCCTTGTGAGCCTGGTTACCCCTGCTTAGTAAAACAAAGAATCGGACTTAGCGCCATCTGCATTATCGCTCCGGTCACCAATTGGACCGATAACTCACCAACCACTCTTCACCTGCATATCCACCCTGTGAAACCGCGCAGTGCGCGCTGCATCTCGCTTGCTCACTTTAATATGAGCTTGCATTCTCACCTTTCTGGGATGCTGCACCCTCGTTCCACTCATCAGAATCATTGAAAGCGCATTGTCTTCTCGCCACACAACCATTACCGTCGCAGAACACCCTCGGCTACCCATCCCGCGGTTTCCTCCCTTCCACCATGCCTGTTTACATGCTCTACGGCTTCCGCTGGCCTCGCGCCGGCTTTACAGGGATTCGCGTCTACGTGGTCTTGCACAATCTCGAGGATGCCACCGCCGAGTATATTCAGCAGCCAACCACCACCGAGCTTCTTCTCGAATCGTTCCAGAAGACAGAGTCCAGCATTGTCGATCGCTTGCCGGAGATGCGCTTCATCGAGCAATACGACCCCGAAGACACGAGTGATGCGGCTGTCAGCAAGCCTTTCGCCTACGTCGCAGCGAAAGTTATCTCTATCCCCGAAGCTGGAGTCCCTTGCTCCGAAACAAGCTGGACGCCTGAGGATCTCTTCACCAAGTCGCCTTTGGATACCGCCGCCGAAGAGGCGATCACGGAGATGCGCGACAAGTATGCTGCGGGCGAGCGGATCGGTTGGTATATTGTCTACAATGGCGATCCCGAGAGATGGTTTCCTCTATCAGATGAGGAGGAAGAAGATAGTATGGACGACGACGAGGGATCCTACGGGAATGGCGAAGAGTGCGATAGCGACCAGACGCCACCAGCGACGCCTTCATCAGCAACGGTACGTTTCGCATCAAAGTTATTTTGCTGGGTGCCATAACCTCTGACGGTGTTTGTGTCATGCAGGTACGACTCCCCCAGCGGCTTACAAGATTTTTTGGTCGGAAAGCGGCCTAACGACTGTACTGGGAAATGTGATTCTTAACATCTTACGCTTGACGATCCACTATCGACTTGATCTCCATCACAAAGCTGGCTTTGGGTGTGTTCGGAAACCTCGGTTCGGATGGCTCACTTGTTTTTATTCAGCGGGATAAATGTCTATTTCGTTCAACATCATTCGTTACACGGCAGCAGTACCTCACATGGTACCGTAGCCTCCTTTTTGCCAAGCGGCATCGAAGGTCGCCTGGTCCACAGCGAACTGTTTGATGTAATCCTTCTCCAGATCATGTGCCCTCTTGCCAAGCAGGACCAAACTGTGAAGAGGTCGGCCCATGTCAACTTCTGCCAGCTCCTTGAGAGTACCGGCAACCAACTTCTGGTCAGGGGCTCCAACACGAGCGGCACCAACAGCCAGACTATCCGCAGTCCAGACTTCCTCCTGGCGCTCCTCCTCCGTCTCGAGCATCTGACTGGCGCACTGCGCAACCGTCATGAAGCGCGGAGGCTCGTAGATCAGACGTCCACGGGCCATGTTTTCGAGGGATTGCTCCTTGACCTTGATGTCTAGCAGGACAAGTGTGTGAAGACCCAGCCCAGCATTCTCCTTGACACGGTCGTAGTAGGAAGAAGGCTTCCAGGTCTCAGTGAAGAAGACCATGCTGACGGTCTGTCCGAAGTTGTACAGCTGCAGGCCGGTGCAGCCAATGCCGGACATGATCGATGCGTTAGGGATGACCTTGGACTCGATGCCCAATTCACGGGCGCGTAGGACTAGATCGGTGTGTGTCGTAGCACTAGTAGTTGGCTGTCAATCCCCGTGCATATCTCCCCATCAAACAACATATGAAGGTGAAAACACATACCCGAAGGGGTCGCCCACCACCAGGAAAGCGACATCGACTTTGTCGGCTTCAGCGAGGATGTCATCGCTGCCAGTCTCAACCAATTCGCGGTCCGCTACAATAACAGGACGTCCATAGAAAGCTTCCTACTGGAATGAGTCACTCCCAGTCAGCCACCTCTGCACCAATGTGCTAGAAGTATGATCGCGCAGAGGCACCCACTAGTTTCTCCTTCTCCACGAGGAGGATGCTTGTGTACGCTTCGAGGTAAACGCGCTCGGCCTTCTTGACCACCTCCAGACCTCTGACGGTGATGTCAGTCTCATCGGCAAGGCCGAGTCCCACTAGATAAAGCATTTTGATCGTACAATGGAGTGAATTTGCTCTTCAGGGAATGTTGATTGCGGCGTGAAAGTTTCCCTTATCACCCCGCCAAATGCGGTGGATGGCGGAGGAACTGATGATCCGAGTATGTGAATCGGGGAAGCACGCGCGTGTCAGGTGACGTGCTTGCCTCCTCCGCGGGATATCCTGGGGCTCTGCCTATTGGGGAACGCTCTATTCATCAGCCTCTAGATTGTTGGAGTCTGAGATCATCTGTCTGTGTATATTCTCAGTGCAGTCTGTCTGGGATGACCAGGCGACCTGCTCTTCATTCTTCGCGAAGATGTCTACAGATCGGACACCGAAGTATCGTCAAGAGATCCAGCAGGTAAGCGTGTCAGTGAGCACCATTGGATTCGCTCAATTGATTGAACTGCACATCTCCGTACTGCACATCTGCACTTTATGCTTGTACTGCTTGTCCCAGACTGTGGCCCCTCTTGGATCTAGGTTGCACATATTTTGGTTGCTATCAAGTTCATTCACAGCAGCCCATACCAACTGTTGTTGGTCCGAACTACTATATTCACTTGCATCTGTTTGCCAAAATTATGCCGAGATCATTCACTCTATCTTTCCTGGCTCCCCCTCTGCTTAGAATTATCTGTTCATCATGATTGCTCTCAAGTCAATGTCACTGTTTCTGACAGTATCGCTTCACACATCCCTCCCATCCCTATCTGTACCCTATTCCCTCTTTCGGACTTATCAATACCTCAGCCCTCAGCATGTTTGCTCTCTCAGAAGGATTCCCACCTGGCTCAGAGTATGAACCAGAGGATGTGGACGTCGAAAGCGAAGAACAGTTTAAGGAGCGCTTGACTAACACTTGGCGCCAGATGATGTTCGTCTCTGGGGAAACTGCCGAACCCTCGGTTGAAACGACTACCCTCATCGAGGAGATTGTTCGTCAGCAAGTTGTCGAAATTGTACGATACCTTCGTCGCTTTCTCCAACCGGTGAATGACGCTAACATCCCTACTAGCTTGCTCGAAGCACCGCTCTGGCAACCCGCCGCGGTGTGCGCTCTATCTCCACCGATGATCTGATCTTCTTGATCCGTCACGATAAGGCCAAGGTGTCTCGCCTGAAGACCTTCCTCTCATGGAAAGATGTTCGTAAGAACGTCAAAGACTCGGACGACAAGGGCGGTGCCGATGCGGCCGATTTCGCCGCCGCCGACGACCCCATCGCCGGAGGCGTCGTGGCTGGACCTCAAGACGTTGCGTCGAAGCCGAAGAACAAGCGTGCCCGCGTCGGTCTCGCTTGGGATGTGAACAGCTTTTATTCCGTGCAGGTTCCCGAGCGTGAGGATGAAGAAGACGAGGAGGAGGAGGAGCAGAACTACGCCACCCTGCAGCGCCTTGCCGCTGCCGACGAACGCACCAAGCACATGACGAGGGAAGAATATGTGTTCTGGTCGGAATGCCGTCAGGCGTCCTTCACCTACCGCAAGAGCAAGCGTTTCCGGGAGTGGGCCGGGTTCGGAATCGTCACCGAGTCGAAACCTAACGATGATATTGTCGACATCCTCGGGTTCCTGACCTTCGAGATAGTGCAAACGCTGACCGAGGAGGCCCTCAAGGTCAAGGAACGGGAGGATCGAGAGAAGAACCGTCGTGGCGGCGCAGATAATGGCGAGGATTCCAAGAAACGTAAGCGCGAGACCGGACTCTTCGACCCCCCTGAGGAGGGCCGCACCCCTGTCGAACCCAAGCACATCCGCGAAGCCTATCGCAAACTGCAGGCGACGTCCAATAAGAACATCGCCATGCTGCTACATAACGGTCGTGTGCCGGCCCGGATGCCATTACGACTGGTGAGTCGTGTCTGGACCTTTCTTCCATGCGCAACGCTAACGGCGAGAATAGATTTAATGGGGTTATTTTGTTATACGGCGTCTATTGGAGTCCATGCTAGTGATACCCTCAACACGCACTCCTAATTTTAGGACCGGCCTCTTTAATATAATATGGTGCGATAGCATTGCAATGATTGGTTTACTTTTGTTCTGCACCAAGCCCTACTTGCTTACGCCCCGCATGTCTAGATTTCCTTCCATTGGATAATGTGTCTTTCATTTGCAAATTAATACAAATATGATACTAGTGACATGGTACTTAGCACATGTGTCATCAGGGTCATGAAATCATAGGGTAATTCACTCGTCCACGGCTCGCGTGGGTTCAGCAAATAACGAACAGCGACAATTTACTCGTTCGCGTGCGTGCGGCGCCCTATCATTCCGCATTAGTATCCATCTTACAATCATTACAAGAGAGAGAAAAGGCAAAAGAACTTACACTCCTCCAGCTCTGCCCGCGACAGCTCGCGGATGCTGTTGATAGCCGGCACGTTCCCGGTGGCCACGCTCTTGACGGTCTCGACGGCGCGGGTGAGCATCCCCTTGCGAGCCAGCGCATAGTGGGCGGTCACCGCCTCGAGCTTGATGACGCCGATGCGGGGGTCCTCGGGGCCACCGTCGTGCACGCCATCGCCCAAATCGCCCAGCCACGCCTGCAGGGCGGGCGAATAGTACTTCTTGACGGTGTCGCGGTCGGAGATGATGGTGGCGGTGCCGCAGATGGAGGCCCAGGAGCCGCTGAGCGGGTCCAGGAAGGACATGTTGACCTCCTTGGGGTGGGTGGTCAGGTCCATCGTCTTGTGCGAGAAGAGGTTCGTGTGGAAGATCAGGTCGATGCCGCCGTGCTCCTGTGCATTCACAAGATCAATTTAGCTTTGATAGAAGGACTTGGGGGGAGGATGTTGTTCGAGAGGCGTACCTTTCCGGCGAGCGCCATGCAGCGGGATGTGAGGAGCTCATCGTCCGAGGACTTGGTGGTGAGCATGCCGAACTTGGAGTCACTGATGAACGTGACCAGGTCCTCGACCTTCTGGGGTAGAGGGGGGTCCTCGTGCGACTTGGCTGTGTAGGGGTCGAGGGGCTTGTTGCCGGCCGCGGTGTTGATGGTGCTGGACATTTTGGTGGTAGTTGTGATTGTGGGTTGTGTGTGATCTGTGATCTGTGATACGGGTGTATTTAATTGAGCGATTCCGATGTTCTTGAAATGAAAATAATTGGAGAGAGGTGAGGGAGCTGCAGGAGATGGGATGTATTTATCAGATGTGATCGATTGCCAAGGCTGGCGTAGATGTGACGTCAATGGGTGTCATTGCTTGCGTTACTCTATCGCCAGTTGATCCTCGATGAACGCTGTTTCTGCGATCGCGCTAGGCAGCGGATTGATGTCAACTGGTCTGATGATCGATCGATTCGAGGTAAACCAGAGGCAGCTTGTATATGTAGATTTGGTAAAAGAAGTTAATTTACCTTTTCCGCGATCGCTAACTTACCTTAGGCATAAACAGATATCGCCGGCGGCCCTGCGGCCCTGAAAGTAGCCAGGCTGCTCACCGCCCGCCACAGCCAGATTGTTACTATATTTCCCCGCTAGGATAGCCTCACGTAGCCTGAATTCAGCAGTTATTCATATCCCAAACAGATACGCCGGCCATCGATGGCTGATATCAGCCTTGTACAGAGAACCGGTAGTCATCACGTCGCAAGGGTCCGGACACCCGCATTGGTCGGCTTGAGCAACACCCTGCTGACTGGTAACTCGCAAGCTGTAACTATATGTCACACCGCCTCACACGATGTGACAAGTTGACATTGTCTGGGCAGGATATAGACACCAACAATTGACTCAGGTCGACAATTAGTCTCTGATTGTCTTATATATTGGATACATATTCCCCTCTAAGCATCTCATTGACGGTATCGCTGCGCTGCAATATACAGCCAAAATGCTGCAGTGGCTATTTCCCCCGCCTGCTCCTCCCCGATTTCTCCTGGTCAGATCATCATAGAGCAAACAACAGTGCTAAGCGACCAACTTCCACCCATCCCTCGCGTAGCTCACCCACGTGTCCGTCAATTCTGGGGCATCATCCACACACACCTCCGACGGTTCTCCCGATCCTATTGCAGCTGGGTCGGGATCGCCTACGATAATCAAATCGCCCAGCTCCCGCTCGGCCTTGTTCTGAAGTGGTCGGATGGTAATGTACCTGGCTCGAGGAAGTTTTGGCCATGCAAGTCGCCAGGCAAGCCGGCCTCCCTGTACCCAGAGTTATCTGCTATGGCAAGCATGCTGATAGTCCGCATGCGCCGGTTTCCAATCCTAATGACGCGGTTTCCTGGCAAGGAATTAGGTCAGGTTTACGATACGCTTAGCGACGAAGAGAAAGAGATGGTGTTCCAACAGCTGGATCGGTTTCTAACGTATATTAGGAACCGGGAGAATCCGTGGGGCGAAAGCAGGATCTGCTCGATGGTAGGAACGCCGATTAGAAGTGTCCTGGTGCCTACCAATCATCTTGCCGGCCCGTTTAGGTCGGAGCAAGAACTTAATGACTATTTGAGGGAACCTGCCTGGTCGGGTGGGTTTGCGTCCGAGGAGGCGTATCAAGAGGCGATGAATCGCGCCAGGAAGATGGATGAGCTACCCCATCGTATCGTCTTTACTCCCGGAGATTTGAAACACCACAATATCATGGTCCGTGAGGGACGCATCACGGGCTTTCTGGACTGGAGATTCGCAGGCTGGTATCCCGAGTATTAGGATTTCACGACAGCGTTGAGGCTCACGCCGGAGGACCTCTGGTGGTATCACTTTGTGGTTGAGCTTGGTGGGAAGTCTTATCTGCGCGAATTGGACCATGAGAGGGCATTGACCTGTTTGACTAGTGCCTCTTATTACTGGTGAACCTGAATAGTCTGCTTCTTTCCAAGATCTCAAGTTTTGGTCGCCCCGCCACAGCGTTCGGCACGGACCTGGTGGCCTGTGTTCTAAATATACGGCTAGCTGTCAAGCTGTTTGAATTCCTTCTTTGAGATCATAGGACCCAATCCTTTATTCACAACAAGCCCAGCACAGGTAAGGAGCCTTGTCCTATGATCCTTCAAGTCCCAAGATCTAGGAATCAAGAGAAGCAAATAGGACTTTTCGTTCGACATGTCTTCTGACTCCAATTTGAAACACTCAACGCCTGATATCAGTTTTAAGTGCTTGTCTGTCCCGGGTGTATAATGAAACCAGGTTGATTCGGAAATAGGTTAATTTGGAGGACGGGCAGTTGAGGAGAATGTGCTCGTAAGCTCGACTCTCGTCTAGAAAAGGGTCTAGTTGATTGATTGACTCGAAATACTCTTTTCCAAAGAACTATCTCTTAATGAGTCAATTTTTGTGTGTTGTTTATTGTGTCTACATACTGTCTTCACCACCAGGTTGGCTACACCGTTCACCTCTAATTCCAGCACCATGATGCTATGCAGTCCCGGCATATCATCACGCAATCGTCGTCCTATTTCCCAGGCATCGTGGCATTGGAATTCCTTGAAGTCCAGCGGATCGCGAACAGGTTGATTGCTTAAGGGAATCACGTGCGGCTCACAGCCTTGCAAGAAGAATCCTGCCCATTTGTGATTCATTGCGCCGCTAAAATTTCGAACGGGAAAGGGCCAGGAGAGGTGGAAGCCAGCTTGTGGATTCATTGAATGCGGAGGGGGATGGATGAGTCAGTGCGACAGGTAGAACCTCCAATCATGGATATCAGGTCATCTGACCCAATTGACCCAACTTAGACTTCTACTATGTAAGCCTGAGCCTTCAGCTATTAAGGAGTAGGTAGAGCTGCATGATCGAAAGCTGTTCATCTCAAAGCCATGGCATGAATGCTTACACCGTGCCTTTAGAGTGAACTGCCATCGGAAATTCAGCATAATACTACTAGGTCATATTTGGCAATTGGAAACAACTGACGCATGAGCTTCCTCCTCGACTAGCAGTAAATCTCACTGCTTTCATGAGAAGCCTCTCTCACTCTATGGTTGACCAATGTGTATATGATTTCCTGGCAGGTTCTCATGCGACCATTTCCCCAGGACTTCACCCTTGAAGTACGCCATCCACTGATCATGGTATAGTTCCCCGCTGTGTGAGCATGTGTATACATCACAGATGCAGAGTGCCTTCATCTCAAGACATAAGAAAGCTGGATTGCAGTCACCACATAGTATCAACCTCATATTCGCTGCTAGACGATGTGTCCAATAGCAGCACCCTGTTTGGCTATAGTTGGTGGCTGCCTCAATTTTTAATCTTCGCGAAATTCTGCATAACAACAATGAATTGCATTTGGCCAGACAGGAGATGGACTATGCCCTAGTCAGACAAACAGACCAGACAAGACAGGCCAACATCAAGGCAGCCGTGCTTGTTGCACAAGCATGGGTAACGAGCACAATAAAATCTCAAAGATAGACAGCCGCGAGAGGTCATGAATCAGATACATAGCTTGAGTATGTAGACAACATATTTATTGCTTCAAGGTTTGGTCCATGGTAGTTCGCTATGAATCTCACAATTGGCCCAAAATGGTCTCTCCACGTGTACACTGACAGATTGAGATTCAGACCGGTCTGGCAGAGGGGCCTCTGTGTGAGGTTACGTCTGAGTCCCCCATGAGCCGCATTTGCTGCGCCCGTGTTTCAGGTAGACCATTCATGCAACGAGCCCAGGCTTCAGGGCTTCCTAAGACACGTCGGCGTGGTGCAAGGCGCAATAACACTGTTCGTGATCGTCCGTTGGGGGCCATTCGACAAAGCCTCGAAGCAGAGATCATTCGACCGCCGATCATGTTTGTGCCACGAGATGGGAAGATTCTGTAGGTGGGGTTCCCTCGTCGCTACCATGTGGTAGATATCCACTCTGCTGTTCTGCCTGGAGACCCTGTGGAGCTGACCACCAGCCTGATTAGCTCCTGGAGCGTTTGGGTGAAGGGCTGTACTCTTGTACTCTCTTCCATAGTCCCAGTCATGTTGAATTGTATGCGAGAATTGCATTTTCAGAGGCTGTAAAGGCTGTGTCGCCTCACGACAACGGTATCTCTGTTCCACCTGGTGAGGTAAAATCGGTATGTCATGATAAGCTCTCCGTTAAATGACCTGAGCTCTTCAGCGCAAGATGCATGAGACGGTTTGATTAAGCTGAAAACTCATAAGGCCTATCGACCGCAGTCAAGACGAGCGGATTAGGGGGATTTTTAGCCCCCGCGAGTTCTTCTGGAAGGAGTATCTGATGTCAGACACTGCCACATGGCGATGCTCGTAGAAACTTCGCAAGTATTGTTGGATTCTTTGAAATCAGTTGGATGGGAAATTGGATGCGAACGAGGCCTGGGGGCGAAAGTTGTGTTGTTTGAAGGATTGTGTTGGGAGGACAGGCGGAGATGCGCAACAACAACAACTCCCCTCGCTTCTCCCCTTCCTCTTTCTGACAACCTCCCCTCTGTTTCTTACCGCCAGACACTTGTCTTCCATCACCAACTGGGCTATGGATATGAGCTCAAATATCAAGTCTAAGGTATGACGGTCTGCATGTAACATGCTCTTTTGCTAATTGCTTCCAGTCGTGTTGTATGAAGGAATGCCTTACAGACTCTGACACGATTTGGCCCCAACGCCATGACGAACTAGTCTCTTCAGGCCCGCGATGAGAGCTCAGAGACTGCGATCCTCCCTTTCTCGAGCTCACTGCCACATTCGTTCATAGCGGGCACCCGTTCAACAAGGACAAGCTGCCTATCATGATGCAATTTGTTCGCTATTCGCGGCGCCTGTGTCCCAGCGGGTCAGTTGATCGCTCCCGCCGAGTCATAGCCAGGTACTTGGTTACTTGGCTTACCAGCTCTCTATGGCTCCCGTGGAACTTGTAGCCCCCGTTCAAACATTACGGACCCAAGATCTGTGCTGAGATGGGAGAAAGCTGAGTACAAGGAGTGTGTAATGGGCGGGTTCGGCTCCGGCGAGGGATCCCGTCTGGGGGAGGCGACGTATATCACCTCCTGCAGGTCCCCGTCAATTTAATATAGCCTATTTGTTTTCGGTCCTCCTGAACTTAGGGTGGCGATCCTACATCATGGCCCTACCTGCTATGCCTCACTATAGACAGGATCCTTACCCACCGCAATACTCCGAGATTCCTATTTCTCTCGGCCATACGCCCTACGGTAACCCCTACGCTTCGAAGTCTTCCGACAGTCTCGGATCACGATCGACATTATACTTCCTCCCGAATGACATACTCGAAGATCACATCGACGACGTGGCAGGCCAAACCCAACACAACCACATCAACAAGATGCCTGGCAAGCACATTGACGACAAGCTTCTTCTGGCAGGATTGGAGACGAATTGGGACTCTTCCGACCGCTTGGCCGTGCCGAGTCTGAGCATCCCCAAAGTCGGCATGTACGATCGACCACCGCTCGATCCATGCCCTTCATATACCTCGCGAGCAAGTCCCACGATGAGCTCATCCTCCACGACCGAATGGAAGTATAACAAGCCGCTTCCCCCGGTTCCCAACCCACAAGAGAAACATATCCATGCCTCATACCAGTCAGGCTCGCCCGTGGGGGAGTCTCTGCCGCTCTACAGCTCGCGACCTCAGACACCTCGACCTATGACTCCAGGCTCCATGCCATCGCGATCGACAACGCCACAGCCACCAATGGCACCTCGACCTCTTACTCCTCGATCAGTGACCCCTCAGCCCCTGAACCCACGCCCCATGACCCCTCAGCCGTCACTGGCCAGGCCGATGACTCCACAACCCTTGAACATGCGACCTATGACTCCCCAGCCACTGAACACTCGGCCCATGACCCCTCAGCTTTCGACGGGCCGACCGATGACCCCCCAGCCGTTGACTCCTCGGTCTTTCACACCGCGACCTAACGATCAACGTTCACTGAATCCAGAATTCTCGTTGGCCGCTGCTGCGGCGTTGAACGCATTTCCGAACGAACCTTCATGGCCACAGCAGGTTGACCCCCCACCATCAACGGGCCTTTTCCCTCCATACCATTTTGAGAAGGGCCTCTTTCCTCCGTACAACCCAAATACTAGCGCACCAGCTCAAAATCGGCCTGACGGGCCCTCAAAACAACCATCGAAGAAGTCGTCGGAGCAAAGGCTATCCGCTAAAGACGACGGTGAGGAGAAGCCTATATGGCGAACGCTCAAAGCGGGAGTGCGACGCGTCCTCACCACTAAAGCTTCATCTTCAAATTTGAAGAAACCCAAGTCTCAAAATGATCGGCGAGCATCGATCATCGTTCGTATGTCCACGAATCCGCAACAGTCACAAGAGTCAGGAGATCAGCAACATGATTGGATGCACAATGTCGAGAAACAGGACGAAGAGCGATATCAAGATGCGGTCAGCCGCATGAAGAATGTGCTTGCCAGCTTATTAGAGGATGGCTATTCAATGGACGCGATTCTTCAAGCCGAAGCGAACCAAAAGTTTCTCCGGTCCCTCTTCTTGAGAGTCCAAAATGACCCTCTTCTCGGCTTGGACGTTGCTCCACCAGCACCACCAAGTCGCTGTGCATCTCCTGCACCTCTTCAGCTCAGTCCTTCTTTCCTTCCTGGTTCTCCCCGCCCCAATGTTCACAGCCATTCCCATTCTTATCCTCCTCCCAGCTCACCAGCTCTCCCCCCACCTCCTCACTTGAATACCCATACTTACTCCCATTCTGTTCCCCCTCCGTCGCCAGCGCCTACCAGTCCTCTACCTCCATTACCTTTCTCTCAGACTCATCCTCCCCCTACCCCTGCTTCTCCCGCTCCTACCTCCAAGACCCGCAAGACCGGCGCCGAGGATGAAGACGCTTGGGAATATGTTGGCTACGAAGACGACGCGACGATGCAGGACGACAGTCCATCAATACACGTCTTCAGCCTCGGCGACAATGAATCGGACACCTCCAGCATCTACCCACGCTACACAAAAATGATGGCAGAGATTGAGGACGACCTAAGCAAAGCATTCCCGCCCACGCGCTGGAGTCTGACCAAGCCCGGCCTAGAAGACATGACCCTCCAAATCCTCCTCCAAATCGACGATCTGGACGACCTCTTCGCCTTCACCCAGGTCAACCGCGCCACATACCAAGTCTTCAAGCGCCACGAACTGCCCCTGATGCAGAACACCATCCGCCTCAAATCACCCGCCGCCTGGGAACACCGCCAGATGAGCGACATCAACTCGCAGGAATCCTCGTCGGAGGAAGAACCCTTCACGGCCGAGATCTACTACCGCCACTACACCCGCGACCATCGCACGCTCGCCACGCTGAAGGGCCTGATGATGACCCACTGCCGGGCCGTGATGCGCTCGGCCTCGTACACGGCGCTCTCGCGACCGGCCAGCCCCGCGGCCCGCAAGATTGACAACGCGATCTGGCGCGTCTGGACCTTCTGCCACCTCTTCGGCATGCAGACGGGCCGCGACCACGATATCGACGGCCAAGTCAGCTGGCTGCGCGGCGAGGTGCGCTCCCCGTTCCAGCCCTGCCCGGACCCCAACGACGTCTGCAGCATCTTGTTCGACCCGCCCCCGGGCTTCGGCGAGGGCAACAACCCCGGCGGCCTCTCCGTGACCGATATGCAAGACATGGACGAGGTCTGGACCTGTCTCAAATACATGTTCGGCTTCCTGCGCGGCGAGACCGAGCGCGCCCGCCGCTTCGGCGTCTTCGCCAATGCCACTGCTAATCGCGGTGACGGCGATGACGACGACGACGACGGCAGCGCCTCGTCTCCTCCTCCCCCCGACACCGACAAAAGGAATCAGGGCATGATCATGCTGCACGAGTGGATCTACTACCTTATGACCCTGGGCCCAGAGGCGGTCGTCGAGCTCGCCCCCCTGGGCCCGGATACCCATGCCGAGACGACGTTCCAGCGCGCCATGTCGCGCGGGTGGACGACGTGGTCGGCGCCCCGGCCCGGCGCCACGCGCAGTGCTTTCTTGACTGATGCGTTGGGCCGGGTGTCTGGTGGATTGCGGCGGTTGGAGGAGTTGCAAAGGGAACTGTGGTATAATTATTTGTGAACCGTGTGGATGGGTGAGTAATGTAGGTTATTTGGGAAGCTGCGGTGGTGTTCCGGGTAGTGAGCGAGAATTTCTGTCTTCTCTGTCTCTTTTCTTATCTTCGAGCATGTATTTATAGAATGGAAGGATTTAATGAATGGAATGAGTGCTGGCCTTGATTCTTGACAAGAGTTCCTTGTTGCAGTAAGTTTCCTTAAACCTTGAATGCATATGCTATCGAAATCCTCCCCACTAACGAAGATCGATCAATCTAGTCTGCCTATCGGCATGACATATAGCAAGCTCGATTAATACTCCTGGTCCAGACAACACCAACTGATCCCTGTTAGACCACTGTCCTATAACCCCTGAACCCCAGCCAAGCCCATACCGAAAATCACAATCACGGCTCCGCCTTGAACACTACCCGGAGCAAAACCGCACCCCCAGCCACCAAGCCCACCAGTGTCGGCAGCTCCCAGCTCGGAACAACTTCCTTTCCACTCGAAGTCGCCGACAGGTCTCCATGTTTGATCATGGTTCGAATGATGGGATAATACCACCAGGACCACGAACACGCAATCCAGAGCACCACCCAGACAGAGCCGACGCAGCGTTGCCAGAGCGGAGGAACACCACCACCACCGCGGATCGCAGCGGGGGTAGCATCAGCATTGACGTCTCCATTTTTCTGTTTCTGTTCATCTTCGAGCCGCACCGGGGCGCGAGACCGCCGCGCCGCCGCCGCGCGCCACACATACTGCACCGCATCCTCGAACATGATGGCGACGACATGCGACAGGAAGAACAGTAGTGAGCCGAAGTGCCCGCCCTCTACTCCGGCGACGGTGTTGCCGATCATGTGCATGATCATGGAGAGACTGAAGACGATGAAGACGTTGACGTAGCGCTCGACGAGGGAGGACCGGGGTAATTTGAGAATGCGGGTGGTGACGCACTTTGAGAAGCTGCTGAAGGGCCAGCGGAGGTATTGGTGCCAGAATTTGCTGAGAGGGCACCATTAAGGGTTAGATACGAGAATATACTCGGATGTTCGAAGAGAAGAGGCAAGAAAGAGTCAGGGAAAGGTGTAACATTGGGGTCTTTCAAATAGAATGGAGACCTACCCCCAGAATCCGCGGCACGTGTAGGAATTGGCAAGACTCCCAAATAATGGCGGCCACTGAGACACAGAATGGTCACCCGAGCCGACGAAGAGGATAGCCGTGCCGCGGTACATCATATCCAGGAACAGATAGGAAGGGATCAACCCGATGATGTAGGTGCATGCCAGTCGGCCGGGCCATTGGTCCAGTCGATATGAGAACTCCTGTCCGGGTCTGTAGAACGATTGGTCGGGGTGGAGACGCGGGTGCTCGAGGAGACGAAGGAAGAGACCCTGCCAAATGATGATGGCGAGTTGGCGGACGACGTACTGCGTGCGTCCGGGAGGAGGATCGGTTTGCATCACGGCTGGAAAAGGAGGGATGTTCTTGGGCTGCCATGGTGTTCCGATGCCCCGGATGGTGAGCAGGAGCTGGAAGGCGGCCTTGGACCGGTTTGGCAGTGTGGTCAGGTCGACGTTGGAGATATAAAGGAGATTCATCAGTTGGATGAGGAAGGTGAAGGAGTGGCCGCCGGTCCGCATCTTGAACATAAACGTCGACGCACTGAGGCTATTGAGCACCCCCTCGAGGTAGGCCAGGTAGACCATCGAGGGAAAACAGATCCATCGCATGAAGGAGCCCTTGGGTGTCCGAGTGAGCAGTGTGATCATAATCAAATTCTGCAGAGCCATGACCACACCGCAGCAAAGATCCGCTGAGATCGCCATTTTGGTTCGCTTACCTGGACTCTGATCGGCCCTGGTGCAAGCCAGGCTCTCGGAGACGCCTAGGGCATGATATATCTAGCTTGTTCCCTTGCTCGAAGGACAAGCATTTTGGGACTGTTGCCGTTTGGGGTTTCAATGCAGGGAACTGTGCGACACCAGGAAGTAGCAACCCAAGCAGACGCTGTCAGCTCGTCAGTCTACAGCAGCAGCGAAAGCCCAATAGAATGCTAACAAACAGGGAACCCACGAGAAGAAGGCTTTTTGTGTGCTACCTTACCTCTGGGTCCACAACCCTGGTGTCAGGCTATATCATCGTCCCTGTTTTGAGCCTTCAGGGGAATTCGAATTAGAGCTGGTGGACATCGACCTGAGGCAGGAACGACTGGTCGCGATAACAAAGCCCATATGGGTGCATGTAAGCAGAGATAAGAGTTGGATGGATAGACTCCAGAGTTTAGTGCAGACCGGTCTAGATGAAGCCTCGCTTCATGACTGGATAAGAGTCATGCCATTGTGTATCCATCCATGTCCTTGTGCCACGATGGATGCACGAAGCTCAGAGCGAGTGCTTTGGCTGCATACAGCGACTCTCTCCTGCTGCCGACAGCCCTATCAGTGGTTGGTAAAGAGGAGGCTTTTTCTCGAGGTCGAGAGCAAGCGAAACAACCTTGAAGGCAGGTGACTGCCCCCGGATGGAGCTAGTGCTCGGGCTATCTTCACCCCGATGTTACTCGGGTCGATTTTGCCCCGAGTGTTCGTTCGCCCTTGAGATCTTCCGCTTTACCTCCTACCAAAGGATATTTCGTGGTGTAATCAGCTACGAAGCACGCTTGTATGACATGATGAACCGATGAGAGGGCATGAATTATGAAAATCTCGTAAATTCGTATCCTAGAAATTGTTTTACATGAATCAGTCATGGCTACGTGCAACCAAAGCTTAGAACTTCAATGACCCGTCACCGTAGCGAGTCACTCCACAGTCTCATCCATTTAAGCAAAAGGAGCATCGGTCAGGCGGAAGTGCACAGCCTTGATCTGAGTGTAGTTCTCCAGGGCGTACGAGCCAAGCTCGCGACCGATACCGGACTCCTTGAAACCACCGAACGGCACTTGAGTGTCGAGCATGTTGTAGCTGTTGACCCAGACGGTACTATTTTCACTGTCAGTGTTTGTTCGGTCGAATCTACAAGCGATGATGGATACATACCCAGCACGCATCTGGTTGGCCACGCGGAGGGCGGTGTTGATGTCCTTGGTGTGAATACCAGCGGCAAGACCTGTAGGCGTTCGTCAGTATGAAGGTACAAGGCATTGAGAAGTGAAAGACGTACCGTAGGAAGTGTTGTTACCGATCTTGATGGCGTCCTCGACATCCTTGAACTTCTGAACGGTGATGACGGGGCCGAAGATCTCCTCCTGGACAATCTTCATGTCCTCGGTCACATCAGTGAAGACAGTGGGCTGGATGAAGTAGCCCTCATCGCCGTGGCGCTCGCCACCAACGGCAACGGTGGCACCAGCCTGCTTGCCGTGGTCGATGTACTCCATGATGCGATCGAACTGGAGCTTGGAGACCTGGGGACCCTGGAAGGTGTCCTTCTCGAAGGGGTTGCCCACCTTGTTCTGGGCGCTACGCTCCTTCAGGCGAGCGACGAACTTGTCGTAGATACCCTCCTGAACCAGAAGACGGGAACCGGCGCAGCAGCACTGACCGTGGTTGTAGAAGATACCGAAGTTGGCCCAGGTGATGGCGTTGTCAATGTCAGCGTCGTTGAAGACGATGTTGGGGGACTTGCCACCCAGCTCGAGAGTCACCTTCTTCAGGTTACTCTTGGCAGCGGCCTGCATGATGGTGCGGCCAACCAGGGTAGAACCAGTGAAGGCAACCTTGTCAATGTCCATGTGGCTGGAGATGGCGGCACCGGCCACACGACCGAAACCGGAGATGACGTTGACGACACCAGCGGGGATGCCCGCCTCGAGCACCAACTTAGCGGCATAGAGGGCAGACAGGGGAGTCTGTTCTGCCGACTTGAGGACGACGGTGTTACCGGTGGCCAGAGCGGGGCCGATCTTCCAAGACCACATGAGGAGAGGGAAGTTCCAGGGGATGATCTGACCGCAAACACCAATGGGCTCGTGGCGGGTGTAGGCGAAGGTCTCGTTGTTGGTGTCAATGGTCTGACCGTGGATCTTGTCGGCCCAGCCACCATAGTAGCGCAAGCACTTGGCAGCAGCGCCAACATCCCCCTTGGCCATGGAGATCGACTTGCCGTTGTCCAGGGCCTCGATGGCGGTCAGGATGTCAGCATCGCGCTCGAACAGGTCAGCCAGCTTGGTCAGGAAGCGGCCGCGCTGGTGAGGAGTGACGTGACCCCAGGAGCCCTCGAAGGCCTTGCGGGCAGCCGCAACGGCAATATCGACATCCTTCTCCGTAGCTTCGTGAACGGAAACAATAGGCTTCTCGTTGGTGGGGTTGATGGTCTCGAAGGTCTTGCCTTCGACACCCTTGACCCACTCGTTGTTGATGAACCTGATCGTAAAGCAGATAGTTAGTGGTGGGGATGAAGCATGAGAACGAGTCCACGATAGGGAGACACATACAAGCCCAGAGGCTGTTCGTACTTGGCGAGAGGGGTCTCGATGGTGGTGAAAAGATCAGCCATGGTGTGAAATTAGGATAATAAGGAGGGAAAGGAGAGGCGAGATGAGAGGAGAAGAGGAAGAGGAAGAGGAAGAGAGAATGAGGGGAGGGGGAGGGGAAGCTCCAGTGTTAATAAAGTAACGAACATGGTGAACCATAGCTAGGATCGCCGAGGTGGGGACGGAGGAAACGGAGGAACATTCAAAGGGAAAATGATGGAGGGGGGGGAAAGATGTCGCCGAAGGAGGGGTGGAGGAGGCGAAGCTCTCCCAGTACGGTTAATGCAGTGCAGTACTCAGTATGTAACAGCACAATGGCTTTTAGTATTGCTCATCGCTGTTTCGTCGACCGAACCGGGGAGACCAGAGGGGATGGATTCAAATTACTTCATGGCCCACGCCTTGCGCGCCCCGCTTTGCTCCGTTACTGAACGTTACTGAGCGTTACTGAACCTCTCGCTGGCTGGTTTGCCAGTTCCGTGGGTGGGTTTTTTCAGATCGTGCGGGGTTTCCGCAGCAGATTCTCATCTCGCCCACCCTCCTCCATCTTAATAGTTATACTAAGCTACTAACCCATCTACTTACTGGCAAGGTACCAGGTTACTAAATACAACATTTTCTGCTGGTTTCTTATTTTCTTCATCCTTCTGACTTTTCTATCAGAGAATTCCCGAAAGAGACCGGTTTACCCACTCCATCCATCCTGCCCTGCAGCTTATTCTTATCCAGTGCTGTCTGTCACTAGACTAAAAGCCATAGTGGCGCGGAATCTCCCCGCTTAGCCTCGGTGGTGGGGATCTCACCCTCTCGTCCCCTCAACAACCAGTCAATGGGACTCAATGCGGTATAACTCGCGCTTGCTCACTAAATTAGTCTGCCATTCTTATCCCCGGGCAACCCCTCAGCTCCAGGCTCCGTCAGCCAGTTGCAGCTATCTGGACCAGACTCGACTAACTTATTGCCCCAATCCTGCAGGAGATCAACCTGGTCCAATATTTGAATGAATGAATGAGCAAGCAGATCAACCGGATCAAGGGAACTTATAACTACTCCTCTGCCAATGGATGAAAAAGTGCCCTCCCGAAGGATTGAAAGAAATGAGACATGAACCAATGCCAAGCGGGCTACGGCAACCAAACCAAGCAGACCAACCATGGACTCGAACTCATTCAAACTGACACACCAAGAGGCTTGGCTTCCTGTCGGCCGAGTTCCAGAACCCAAACACGTGCCGCGTCTTCACCACCTTTTTATCTACTCCGTAGTCCGTACTCCGTCCCTACATGCATCGTGATCCCCAGTATATCTAGAGATAGGGGCCCTCTACCTGGCTCTGAGAACTAGGTACTAACGAGTACTCTGGTCTACCCAGAGATAAGCTATCGAGAACTCCCCAAACACTAAAATGTCTCGTCATCCAACTCGTATTGAAGATCAGAGCTTGCCACTGCTAACTTAGCCCCTGCTAGCCCCTCCTTCCCCCACTTACCGTGCATAGAATGATTCTGGCCTATCCCCTCCACTCCATGATCACGCACAATCCAAGTACGTAGTTAGTAATCGGACTGGTCACGGGACGGGCTTTTCCCCGGACCGACCCCTCGGTACCTTTCTCCCGGTGCCCCGATCGCTGCCTCGGGTTGATTCATCCCGGGCCTGTTGTCCCTGCCTAGGCGTGGTTCAAGAATGGTCGATGGTTTCCATTCTCATCTGATGGTCTTGCGAGCAACAAGAGCGATGGATGGGTGATCGAGTACCGAGCAGGCTCTGTCACTCTTTCTCGCTGTTGTTCAAGATATCCATGATGATGCTGCCTTGGACCATTGAAGGTATTCAGCGCGAGCTCATTTCCTGACCTTAACCCCACAGTTTCCACTCACCATGTCACAACACTTGAACTACAGCTGCCCTAGTTGCGATAAGAGGACTCGATACATTGTGATGGGCTTCTTATCTGAGCAGAGCAAACTGATTTTCTTGTCACTTGTTATCATCCATATTGTCTGAAATCCAGAACTTGTACCGTCAAATGTGGACCGTACCTTGTTCTTGATTGCAATCCGACATGATGCGATGACTTGGACTGACATCCTACATCCGCAAATAACTGCATCATCAATGACTTGAATACCAATAGGTATCTTTGTGTCAGAGTGTACAAAATGAGCACGCAGCATACGAAATATCTTCACAAGTCTTCAAGCGGCATTCATGCCGAAAGACTCGAACAATCCCGTGGCAGATACAAATCCCTGTCGTGCCAGTAAGAGGGCGGCGCGGCTGACGGAGTTGCACCACACCTCCGCGCATTCCTTCGAAGCACCTCCATCCCCCTTTGTCTCTGCATCCATCCCACCTTCGATTTGCAAGAGTGTCACCTCAAGCGTCAATCGAGCTGATCAGATCCTCACTTCCAAGCCAAACCATGCCGAAATTCTATCCCTCCATCTCAGACGACCTACGGGATTGGGTCCTGCGTCAAAGCGTCTTCTTCGTCGCTTCGGCCCCGCTGCAAGGTCGCCATATCAATCTATCCCCCAAAGGACTGCCTGATGCCTCGTTGGCCATACTTGGCCCGAATGAGGCTGCTTACATAGATGCGACTGGGTCCGGAAGTGAGACCATTAGCCACGTGCGTGAAAATGGTCGCATAACGGTCATGTTCTGCTCATTCGACACAGCACCCGGGATTGTGCGTTTCTTCTGCAATGGTTCGGTGATTGAATGGGACCAGCCTGAGTTTCCACAATATCTTGACCGTATGGGGGGCAAGGCCGTGGTTGGAGCACGGGCGATCATCCATCTGGACGTGTTTAAGGTTGGATCTCCCGCCTCGTTCTTCTTTGCCTATTTCAAGATATCTGTAACCTTGCACCTGTCGGAGTCGCCTGCAGTATATAGTCTAGGCATTCTTGTGCAGAACTCGGTTGACACAAAAGCTCATCACTAATGTCAATGGTCATACCGGATACAGGTCCAATCGTCATGCGGTTATGGAGTTCCGCGGCTGTCCGTGAAGCTTGATCCCGACACCAACGAATCCAAACCATATCTCAAAGACCGCGACACACTGGGCCACTGGGCAGGCAAACAGGTGCAGGCGAACAAGATGCGGGCCTACCAAAAGGAGTGGAATTACCGAAGTCTTGATGGGCTGCCGGCACTCTGGACCGCTGTGAAGGATAACAACAAGTTTACCGGGGTGGCACAACTGGGAAACTGGGCTCGTCGCCATCGGGATGATATCGAAACCGCCAAAACAACAGTCTTGGTGCTGTTCATGGCTATGGGGATTATGCACTGGATCGGATATGTGTAGATATACCCTGGTTCGCAGTACATCACCACGTTGCGGGTGACATCATCTTGCCCACGATCCTGGCTTTAACTTCCAGCGTGGGTTATGCTTCTGACGGTTTGACCGTTAATTAGGTTCAGGTAACTGGGAAATTGCCTTCTGCCCTGTAGCGGGACTTTTCGGTAACTCATCATCCATTCTTTGTTTCATTAGATTGAAGTGACCGCCTGAATCCTTGTCGACCCCGCCCTTCGTTCGACCGAATCTCCTCGGCTCAACCCAGATGGTGTCACAGTCACACCGGGGCGCCCTTGCTTTGTCTCGCCTCACATTTTTGTGATAAATTACTCGGAGCTCACTTCCAGCCAAAGGAATTGTCTACTGTACCCGTGACCAGTACCACCACCACCGCCACCACTGTCAATTTACCGTGATTATGGCTTCGCGTTCCGTTCGCATCGCTGGTGAGCCATGAGAGAGACCGTCCTTTCCGCTGTATACTAAGTTACCCCAGGGGCGTCAGGTTCCGCTTCGGATCGACACTATGCCATAGCTGAGTTTGCACGCAACTTTCCCCGAGACCCGGTGGACGTTATCACCGCCGATTTCTTGAGCGAGGCCAACATGTCCGCTGGGGCAGCCCGGCGAGTCGACCAGATCCGGGCGCGGTATGAACAGGTGCAACCCGGCCGAGGATCGGCTACCACTACGCCGGCACCTGCATACGAGGCGTCATTTTTGCTTGCCCTCGAGCCGGCCTTGGTGGACCTTGCCAAGCATAGGATCAAACTGGCGGTCAATGCAGGGAACGCCGATACGGAGGGCCTCCACGACGCGGTTGTGCAGATGGTGCAGGCGAAAGGACTAGACCTCAAGGTTACTACCTCCACTTGCAGTGGCTGCTGTCTTCGAGGGAATGTGCTCACATTCGGCTGCAGGTCGCTTGGGTATCGGGTGACCAGGTCCTGTCGACCGTCCAAGAGGCACTTTCGTCGGGCAAGTCTGACTTCAAGAGCATCTATACTGGCCAGCCGTTGTCTGAGTGGCCCTTCGAGCCGATTTTCGCGCAGTGCTACCTCGGGGGACTGGGGATTGCAGCCGCGCTAGCCAATGGCGCCGATATCGTCCTGTGCGGACGAGTCTCCGACGCATCCGCCGTCATTGGAGCAGCATATTGGTTCCACGGCTGGCAACGCAGCGACCTCGACCGCCTCGCCAACGCCCTCGTAGCCGGCCACCTGATTGAATGCAGCAACTACGTCTGCGGCGGCAACTTCACCGGCTTCAAGATGCTCGAATCTCTCGGCCGGGACGGATGGACCAACATCGGATACCCCATCGCGGAGATCTCCCCGGAGGGGCAAGTGATCATCACGATGCAAACCTACGCAACCGGGGGCGCCGTCACCGTCGACACCTGCTCCGCGCAGCTGCTGTACGAGATCCAGGGCCCCCGCTACCTCAACTCGGACGTCACCGCCCTGCTCGGTGACATCTCCTTCGAGCAACGCGGCACAAACCGCGTGGCCCTGCGCGGCGTGCGGTCCGCACCCCCGCCTCCAACGACCAAGGTGGGCATCTCCGCGCGTGGGGGGTTCCAAGCCGAGGCGGTTTACTTCTTGGTCGGGCTGGACATCGCCGCCAAGGTGCGCATGCTAGAGGCGCAGATCCGCCACGTCCTCGCCCCGTACTCCGACGCCTTCACGGCGCTGACCTTCTCGACCCTGGGGTCCGCGCCCGACGACCCGCGCACCCAGGACAGCGCCACCGTGACCTTCCGCATCGTCGCGCAGGCCCGCACCGCCGCCGCCCTCGCGCCCCCCCGCTTCCTGCGGCCCATCACCGACAACATCATGCAAGGCTACCCCGGCGCAACCTGGCACCTCGACACCCGCCAGGGCTTTCCCCGGCCGATCTTCGAATACTTCGTCTGTCTCTTGCCGCAGACCGCCGTCCAGCACCGCGTGCACCTGCCCTGGAAGACGGGCGCTGCTGGTACTGGTCCTCAAACCGTAGACATCGCCCCTCCTCCCGCCGCGCAAGCGGAACTAACCCCCACTCCCCCACTCCCTGGCCATTCCGCTCCCCCCGCGCCCCCCATCCCCTCAACCACAAACTACGGCCCCACCATCCGCGGCCCCCTAGGCTGGATCGTCCACGCCCGCTCCGGCGACAAGGGCCCCGACGCCAACTGCGGCTTCTGGGTGCGCCATGCGGACGAGTTCCAGTGGCTGCGACGGGTGCTGACCGTGTCGACGGTCCAGGAGCTATTGGGGCCGCAGTACACGTCTACTGACACTGACACCGCCGCCGCCGGTGCTGCTTCCCTGCGGGTGGAGCGGTTCGAGCTGCCTAATCTCCGGGCGGTGCACTTCCTGTTTAGGAACCTGTTGGATCGCGGGGTGTGCGCGACGGTGACGGTGGACTTTTTGGGGAAGAATGTCGCCGAGTTCCTGCGGGCGCGGTTTGTGGATTTGCCGGTGCGGTTTTTGGAAAGGGGGAAGTTGTAGTCTTCTAATCGGTCGGGACCTGGGGTTAGGGTTGGGGGTAAGATGGTTGATTGGTGTTTATATATAGCTGGGCTGGAATATAGTAGGTACTGTACATCGTGGATTGCACTGCAGTTTAGTGACGGTGACCTAGTCATATCAGGGGAGGTAATGCCTCCAGCAACGTAGAATGTGGTGCAGTGCATCTCAGTCAAACACAACCACAGCACAGCTCACACAAACCCTTTGCATCTTCGCCTGAACTCCATACCTACTGTATACCTAACTTGACGACCCATCCAGCTAACCTCAAGGATTAATCCTCGCCCTGCTGCGTCTCCAACCCCCTCCACCCCTCAAACACGTGCTGCTGCCGTCCTCCACCCTCCCTCCACCCCCACGCCACGCAATAATGCCGCGCCAACAACCGCCACTCCTCCATCTCATCCAACATCTCCAGCCCGGCCACGCGCTCCTTCTCCCCCTCCGCCACCCACCGCTCCCACAGGAAATCCACATCCGCCGCCGCCTGCCCGTCCACGAACCCGTGCGCCCGCAGCCGCGCCCGCTGCGCCGCCAGGCTCGCGTACCGGTGCAGCGTCTGCAGCTGGATGCCGCGCGTCGCCAGGTTGGCCACCATCGTGCGCCCGAACGCGTCGTCCGGCCGGATCGGCTCGTAGAGGATGATGCCCAGCGGGGGGGTTGGGGGCGGGCCGTCTGCTCCAGCCCCAGACCCAGCTCCAGCTCCAGCTTCAGCTTTTCCTTCACCGACGGAAGCATCGAAAACCCCAACAAAGAACTCGACCACCCGCCGCGCCTCCTCGGGCTCCAAATAAATCAGACAGCATTCGGAAATCAACACCGTCGGCAGAGTCGGGTCGAGGCCCGGGAGGAGGGTGTCCGGTCGGAGGTCCGCGCCCTCATTCCCTAGATCCCCCTTCCTCGAAGGTGGTGATGACGCTAAAGCAGCCAGCTGGCGGAGATCGATCGGGTGGAGGTGGTAGTGCGGGGTATGCAGAGCGTCGGCGGCGGGGGAGATGGTGACGGTTTGCGGGTCGCCTAACGCGCGCTGCAGGTGGGGGGCGGCGCGGATGGCCCGGATTTTAGAGGCGGTGTTGCTGGGGAAGTCGAGTTCGTGGTAGATGATTGTTTGTTCGGGGTGGGGTTGGGTCTGGGTCTGGGTCTGGGTCTGGGCGAGGAGGCGGAAGATGCGGGTGTCGGAGCCGGCGCCGAGGGAGATGATTTGTTTTGGCTTTGGTTGGGGGAGGGTGGGGATGGTGGACTTTGTTGGTGTTGTGGGGGTTCGTTGGGGGGTGTCTGTGTCTGGTCGATGGGGGGTTGTGGAAGGGTGGAGGAATTGCGTGAGCAGGTGGTCGATTGTTGTGGTGCGGACGTAGGTGCCTTTTTTGTGTAGAGGGTTGTTAGTTACGGGACGAGGTTAAGGGACAGGATTTGGAGGGCAGAGGGTTGCGTACCTCGATTGATGATGGGCAGGCGTCGGGTTTCTTGGCCTGGAGGGGTCAAGGCTGATGCAAATGGGTCGTCGAGATAGCCTAGGTTCACGGCACTGAGACGAGAGACGCTGGCGTCATTGTCTGTGCCTTGTACCACTCGGTCTTTGGTGCTGGAGCCTCCTCGTCGAGAGGGAGCATCAGAACCTAACTCGCCTCCGCCACGGCCGCGACCGCGAAGACGAGCGCCGCCGCGACGTAAGGTGTTGAGATTGGGGATCTGTGAAGCTGACATGAGATGAGGGGGAGAGCGGAGTGGAAGGAGGGGAAGGAGGGGAAACTTGGGATGGAAAGGCGGGCGGAGGTTCCGCGGTTGTTCGTTTCGTCCCCGGCGGAAGCGGAGTTGATCCTGCCTGGTTTGTCAGGCATGCATTCTAAATGCGGAGAAACTGGCTGTTCATATGGAGACATGTATGGTAATCAATTCTATCTATACCACTTTTATCACGATAGACAATTCTATGTACAGTGTATACTAAGCACCACCTCAAACATAAACAAAGTTGTTCCGGCACAGCGGACACGTGCTCTGGTTACTGCTCTTGAACCACCGGAACAGACACACCGAATGGAACGTGTTCTTACACGTCGCGCAGCGCTTGTTCGGCGTCTGCATGTCCGTCGAGATGACACTGTAGCAGATAGCGCACTCGCTCTGGCCCTTGAGCGCCCCCTGCACGTTCTTCCGGAATGCTAGCAGTCCATCTATCATGTTGCCATTGGCAAACATGATGACACCCTGAATGGTCGTCAGCCAGTTCTTCCACTTCCTCTCGTCCACCAGAACACGACTCCGCCCGACTACCAACGCGGGCTGAAGCGGGTAGGCAGGTGGCAGCGAGATCGACAGCGAGACTGGCGGCGAATCCTCGTCGACCGGGATACTGGCGATGATCTCCGCGGTCTTCGGCGCAATCTTCACCTGCAGCGCACGTTCTTCGTTGGGATCTTGCGTCTGAGTCCACTCAGAGACTCCTTGCAATGACTCTTCAATAACCAATGGAGAGATCTAAAAGGGGGAGTCAGTAATCTGCTGCATGATTGCATCCGGTAAGACATACGTATTTCTCAGTCCAGGCTTCTACTGGTCCCTTGATGCGCTTTTTCGTGTCAATCCACCATCCTTTGGTCATGTTGGCCAAATGCTTCAGGCACAGGAAGTACAAGTGCACAAGAAGCCATTGGATCTCCTTTTCAGGGGTTTCAGACTGATCCGGTTCAAAGGAGCGGATGTCAAACTTGGACGCATCAATCATCTTGCCGTGGGACTGCTGGAGAAAGTCGAACGTGAGCTCCAGCAATGAGTCCAAACTCTCATTCTCTCGGATACTAGCAACATAGTTCTCTTGGACAGTGAGAGACTATTGAATCAGTTAGATGCTGCCTGCTATGGGTGACGTCTTCGGATGTGGAAACTTACCGCATTGACAAAGTGATCGAAGACGATCTTCCAACTCAGCAAATAGGAGCGGAGCTCAGTCCAGGTCCTCTCATTGCCATAAGATCTATTGATCGAGTCCATCGTCGGTGCGCCAAGCAACAGAGACACGAGTTCGTCAGGTAGTCGGACCGTCGTCTTCGACAAAGCCACATCGAAAGATACCTGTTCCTGCACGCTGGGAATGTACCGGTGCAGCAGAGTGTAGGCAGTGCGTTGGATAGCTCGGCTCTGCGCCGTCAGAAGCGAGAAGACACTGCTAACGTCCTCTAGATTCTCGACCGGAATGGTCTTGACAAACCGACAGAGCAGGTCGACCGTGATGTCCCGGGGTTGATCGAAGATCGTTGACGAATCTACATGATAATCATTAACAATGTTCTCAGATTGCGAAACGTGATAGACTTACCAAATTTTCGCAAAGTCGAGGTCAAACTGTTAAATAGCTTCGATTTCCGATCCGACCACGCATCCTTCACATCATCATTACTCTCTTCGTCACTGACGATCGATTGTAATTTAGCGAAAAGTCTGTAAGATGACAAGAGCACAGGAAGAGCCTCGTCGCCACCACTAGTCCTCTTCCAGGTCGCGTCAAGAATCTCCAAGCAATCTTCCCAGTGAGAGCCGTACATCTCTTGAATGCATGGGAGTACGAATACTAGAGTCTGAAGAATCTCGGCCTTGAGGCTAAGGGATACAGCATCAGATTGAAGGCATTGGGTGAGATGCTTGATCAGGAACATCAAACGCTGGGTGGGTATGGACGCCGCGACGTCCTGGTCCCCAGCGAGCAGGAGGTTAAGGAGAACCAGCTTTCGCAACCCTACCAATTATCAGCATAGTCAAGACATACGAGAAGCCCTTACTGACCGTCTTTATTCTCATCCTGAGGTTTCAGTCCAGTCGAGTCTGCGACAAACTCGTTGCACAGCCGCGTACCCGTAGGATTCGATAGAATGGCATGGCGCAATGTAGCTACCCAAGCAGCCGAGCGGATGGCATTCGCTTTGCGCATATCCCTGCAAATCTGGGTGACCTCTTCCGGCGACTTGGCGCTGTTGGAAGAGTCGGCGGTGTCCATGATCTTCACAAAAGCGACTCCGATATGATAGTCGAGTGGAGCAAGATCTTCTAGCCCTTCGAGCTTGTCTTTCCAGAATGCAGAGAGCATAGAGGATATAGTCGCTTCGGCCTCGGTTGCACCCTTTTCGTGGGACCGAGCCCAGCCACTGACGACCTTCCAACCGTCGTTGACAACATCCATATACTCATCCCTTTGTTCAGGAAGCGAGATCCCGCTGATGCCATTACAGTTCTCGATACTCAAATCATCATCAATGAGCTGCAGTGCTAGAGGGATGTTGTAGAACAATGTCTCCATCTCAGCCTTGTCCAGGTTTTGGATTAAACCGAAAGAAGAAAGGATTCTGACAGTGAAATAGGCCAATCGGAATGCTGAGGAGGAGTTGTTTGAATCCCTAGGAAGACTTTCATAACGTTGCTGTAGTGTGTCCGACAAATCACGATTGACTAAATGCACAGTACCACTGAGTGGGCTTGTGATGGCAGTTGAAGGTCTTGGAGGGAGTTCGAGGAATGGACCCAAAGCTTTCGCCCAGGACTCGCGAGAGGGCAGAATATCCTTTGCAACCTTCCCAACCTCTTCTGCCTTGGCATTGTGCAGCAGTTCTTCGGCGATAGTTACAAGTGACTCAACCCTAGAAACAGTTAATTCTGATCGTCCTTTTGTCTCTTTCTCGGTTAACACTCACGATAGCGATTGGTCATTGACATTGTCAAAACTGTGCTGTAGAATCTCAAAGCTCGATTTGTTCGCACTCGTCTCGCTAACGATCGACTCCTTCAAGGTCTTGGCCAACGATTCTGCTACGCTTGAAACATCTTCTGATGAAAACTCAGAAAGGAAAAGTAGCTTTCCAGTTAGTTTGGACCCGTGGGGCCCATTCTGGAAAGTTTTGAATGCCAGGGGAACAGCCCGCGCGACTTGAGAGAGACCATGCAAGGTGTCGAAAACCTTGGTATCATCTGACAAGGCATCGATGATTGCTAGGAAGATCGTGTCTGACAGTCCTCCGTGGGAGGTTTCGTTCTGAAGCACTGCGATCACAATTGACCAGTGTAAATCACTCCCATTGCAGGCCCTATCAAGGGCTCGCATGATCAGAGAAATGAGACCACTCTTTTCGTCCAATTCTTGGAAATCGAGGGTGGAAAGTAGCTTTTGTACAGTGTGAGCGTTCGAAGTCTCCGGGTCGAACTGGGCAACTCTCTCCAAAACTTTCTCGAAGCTGGAGCCAAACCCATCCCAGGATCGGCAGGACAGGATAATCGAGATGAGCCTGTCAGCGGAAGGCGACGACAGGAGCTCCGGTGCGTCATCTTGGACAAAGCTCAACAGTGACTGCGAGGCTTTGGCAATCGGCGCAACTTTGAGTACAGTTTGTTCGACAACAGCAGCCGCTCCATACGGCTTGCCATTCCTCAAGCGCAAAACCTCCAGACAGCTATCAAGCAACGAAAGGCTAGTAGCATTGAACACATCCGAAACCTCGGCTTCATGGTCTGTATCTTTTACTCGAGAAAGTAATGAGGCTTCCAAAGCAAGAAAACGCTCTGCTTGCGCGCAGACAGCGTCCTGGGAGGTTTTGAAGTCCTTCGATTGTTCCGGGGAAGACAACTTGACAGCTTCGAGCAAGCTGTCTGACAGCTCTCTCCACGTTTGCTCCAATACATGCTTGTAGCCTAGCGTGGTCAGCACAAAAAGGGCATCTGTGCAGATAGGCTCTGCTGACTGAGGAGGTAGACCCCATTGAGCCTGGTCTGACTCGGGTTTCACATATTGTACAATCAAAGGTCGGAGCCTTTCGCGCAACAAGTTCGTTCCCTCATCCTGACCAAGCCGACCTGCAAGCCACATAACAGTATCAATGTAAGCTTTCCAGCCAACAGCTCGGTTTTGCCGAGGCTCGTCTCTGGAGTTTAGTCCCTCCTGGAAAGACTCTGTCAGAGCACGGGCACTCGTCACTCCGACGTTGTTCTCATCGGTTGATTTCGAATCAACCTGTGCAAGAGTCTTGATTGGAATGATCTGCAGCAGCTCGTAAAAATTGGTCCAGAAGGAGCTTGCGCCACCCTGAGAACCTTTCTGAAGATATTGAAGTAATCTCTTGGAAGACGAGGACTTTCCGGAGTGATCTTCAGTCCACAATTGAGGCCTTGCGGAGGTCACATGCAGGATAGTCTCGGAGAGTTCCGATGCGGAGCCCAATTGGCTACAGTGCAGTGACTTGCCAATCAAAGCAGCACTGATGAGTTTCCAATCCAGTTCCTCCGGCTGCTTGGAGACTGCAGTGCGCGCAAGAACATAGAGTGACCGGCGCACGAAAGCATCTTCATGATACGATAGAGCCCACAGGGACTTACTTCCTAGAAGTGTCTCTATCGTGGGTGTTGCCTTCTCAAGGTCCTCTTGTGCGGAGTTTCCTGCATTGAAGCTCGTCAGATGAAGTGTGAGCAAACCACAAAAGAACATTCATACCGAGTATCCTGTTGAACAGCAAGAGGGCAGTTCCAGCCACTCGTGCATATTTGGCTGTGGCGTCATCTGCCTTCACAGTCCTCTCATCGCTCAACGTTTGAGGGGTCTGTTGGAGAATGACATCATCTACGAAATCCAGAATGGAGGACTGGTAGACTTTCCATACACCGTTCCTCTTCTCGTCGGTCGAGAATACGCGCGTGAATGATTCCAGCGCAGCGCGATGGACTGGCCGATCGTTGTCGTAAAGTCCCGCAAGCCATGCTCCAATGACCTTGGGCAAGAAGCGAGCAATGCGCTTTCCGACAAGAGACGCAATAGATCCCTGGGTCGAGTGCGCTGTTTGTCTCACCCTCCGAGAAAGATCTATCGAGGCGCGTGGGTAGATCCTGACCTGCCGAGATACCGAACCATGATCAACCGATTGCTCTAGTGCGGCGTGAGAAGTCAATGTAAACCTACCCAAGCTTCCAGGAACCCATCATCAAGGGTCCCATTGCGACTCTCGACAGCCAAAACGTGGTCGCGCAAGTCGTCCAGAGCCTTTGTGCGGGTAACCTCATCCTTCTTGAGGAAATTCTTGAATGCGATTGTCAACTGCGCCTCCGATATGCGAGATAGATCCGGAGGCTCTGTGACGTATGTAAGCGATGATGGTTCCCTTCCCTGACTGGAGAATGCGCTGGAGAATCCTCCAAATGAGCCAAATGTGCTAGCAGCAGCCCGGCTGCTTGAGGCCTGAGACTTGTACTTTTTGCTGCTCATAGTAAAGTGGGGGATGGCGGGGTGTAAAGAAAATGACGAAATCGGTTACTGGAAGGTGATTGACTCGAGATATTGACCAGCAGGTGCACTCCAGGGGGGATTCGGTCCAGTCCGCTGGGTACAAACAGAGAGTAGTTCACGCCGGACAGTCCTGCACTCCAGAATACCCCATCGATCGGGCTGTAAGTTAGTTGTAATTGTCCTCATCTCAAATCCGGCGGCATGGACTCCATTATCGGCGTCCCTATCGGGCATTTCACGTGACCTGGTGTCATCGATCCCCCGATCGGGCAAAAGCCGGCGCGGTCTAGAAGAAGAGGCAAAAAGATAGAAGCGACGGAGAAAAGAGCTCTGGTCAGCTTCCTCTTCCTCGTCGCGAGCACCGCGCTCATCCCGTCACAATGAAATTCTTCATTGAGTAAGTCTCACTGGCATTCCTGCCTTCCCCCGCTCAGCGTACTCGGCAGAAACAAGCTTCTAATCTCATCCGGCGTCTAGTGATCTCCCCGTGCTCTTCCCTTATCCTCGCATCTATCCCGAACAATATGCCTACATGTGCGATCTCAAGAAGACCCTCGATGCCGGGGGTCACTGCGTCTTGGAGATGCCTTCGGGTACCGGAAAGACTGTCTCGCTGCTGTCGTTGATCGTAGCATATCAGCAGCATTATCCCGAGCATAGGAAGCTCATCTACTGCTCTCGAACGATGTCCGAGATCGAGAAGGCGCTGGCCGAGCTGAAGGGCTTGATGAGTTTCCGCGCCAAGGAGCTGGGATACACTGAAGATTTCCGCGCGCTCGGGCTAACTAGTCGAAAGAATCTGTGTCTGCATCCGTCGGTCAAGCGAGAAAAGAGTGGTACAGTGGTCGACGCAAGATGTCGGAGTTTAACTGCGGGATTCGTGAAGGAAAAGAAGGAGCGGGGCGAAGATGTTGAGTTGTGCGTTTACCATGAGGTATGGAGAGTTTCTCACAGGTTCGTGACGATTAACTGACGCTCTACAGAACCTTGACCTTCTCGAACCGCACAACCTCGTACCTCCGGGTGTCTTCACCCTTGATGGGTTAAGTAGATATGGCGAAGAACACAAGCAATGTCCATACTTCTCGGCCCGTCGCATGGTATGTTCTCACAGTATCTGGTAGGGTGGATTCTATGCTAATGTTGCCCGCCTCCCCCATAGATGCCTTTCTGCAACGTCATTATCTATTCCTACCACTACCTCCTCGATCCGAAGATCGCCGAAAGAGTGTCGAAAGAGCTATCCAAGGACTGTATAGTTGTCTTCGACGAAGCGCATAACATCGACAACGTCTGTATTGAATCTCTGAGTATCGACTTGACTGAGGATTCGTTGCGGAAGGCCACACGCGGTGCGAACAACCTCGAACGCAAAATCAGCGAGATGAAGAGCTCGGATGCTGAGAAGCTCCAAAACGAATATACCAAGCTGGTTGAAGGCCTTCGAGAGGCCGAGCAAGCTAGAGAGGAGGATCAATTCATCTCAAATCCAGTCCTTCCAGATGACTTGCTCAAGGAAGCTGTACCAGGAAATATCCGTCGCGCCGAACACTTCGTCACCTTCCTCAAACGGTTCATTGAATACCTGAAGACCCGAATGAAGGTCACACACACTATCTCCGAAACACCATTATCATTCTTGACGCACGTCAAGGATCTCACATACATCGAGCGAAAGCCATTACGATTCTGCGCTGAGCGTTTGACGTCACTCGTGCGCACACTCGAACTCATCAACATAGAGGACTACCAACCGCTGCAAGAGGTTGCAACCTTTGCGACCTTAGTTGCCACATACGAAAAGGGCTTTTTGTTGATCTTAGAGCCATTCGAGTCGGAGGCAGCTACAGTACCCAATCCGGTGCTGCATTTTACCTGTTTAGATGCCGCGATAGCGATCAAACCTGTCTTCGACCGATTCAGCTCCGTCATCATCACATCGGGTACCCTGTCACCCCTTGAAATGTACCCTAAGATGCTAGGCTTCGAAACCGTCCTCCAAGAATCATACAGCATGACCCTTGCCCGCCGATCCTTCCTGCCCATGATCGTCACGCGCGGATCCGACCAAGCCCAGATTTCCTCTTCGTTCCAGATCCGTAACGACCCCGGCGTCGTGCGCAACTACGGCAACATGGTCCTGGAGTTCTCCCGCATCACCCCCGACGGGATCGTCGTCTTCTTCCCGTCCTACCTCTACATGGAATCCATCATCAGCATGTGGCAGGGCATGGGCATCCTGGATTCCATCTGGAACTACAAGCTGATCCTCGTCGAGACCCCGGACGCGCAGGAGTCCTCGCTGGCGCTGGAAACCTACCGCACGGCGTGCTGCAACGGCCGCGGGGCGCTCCTCTTCTGCGTCGCGCGCGGCAAGGTCTCCGAGGGCATCGATTTCGACCACCACTACGGCCGCGCGGTGATCAACATCGGCGTGCCCTTCCAATACACCGAATCCCGCATTCTGAAGGCCCGCCTCGAGTTCCTCCGCGAGAACTACCGCATCCGCGAGAATGACTTCCTCTCCTTCGACGCCATGCGGCACGCCGCCCAGTGCCTGGGCCGCGTGCTCCGCGGCAAGGACGACTACGGGGTCATGGTCCTGGCGGACCGGCGCTTCCAGAAGAAGCGCAACCAGCTCCCCAAGTGGATCAGCCAGGCCATGCTCGAGAGCGAGACCAACCTCAGCACCGACATGGCCGTGGCTACCGCCAAGAACTTCCTGCGCACCATGGCCCAACCGTTCAAGGCGCGCGACCAGGAGGGCATCTCCACGTGGAGCCTGGCGGACTTGGAGAAGCATCGCGAGAAGCAGATGCTCGAGGAAGAGAGGTTGCGGCGGGAAGAAGAGCTCGCCAATGCACGGGCCCCCAATGGTGCTGGTGCTTATTATGGTGGCGGCGGCGGTGGCGGCGGTGCCGCGGCCCCGCCGGACGATGAGTTCGACGATGACATTGATGAAGATCTAATGATGTTGGATGCTCAGTGACCTGCAGGCGCGTCCATGGGTTTCCTTTTTCCCGCCCACCTTTACAACCTTGACTTGTTTTACCCATTTTGTTTTTTATCACGGTCAAGGGGAAAAAATGCTTGCATAGATTGCATGATACCACGGATGGTTCGGTGTTGGAAAGGGTTGATAATATGTACAGTACATTACAGCGCAGCTACTTACTCGAAAGAAAAAATCTCAACGTACTTGCCGAGTCTTCTTGTTTATTGTTCAGGTCAAAAAAGGTTCATACTCTTTATTGAATGCTATATCTTAAGGAACTAATAAGAAGGACTTTTTCTTATTCCGCTGAAAGACAACTCCACAGAAATCGTTGGACACGTCATAGACACGACGAAATGGGAAGACAGAAGGGAAGTGCGTAGAGTTACATGCAAAATCAGACAGGCAAGCATATACAACGAGAAGAAATGCATACACAGTGCGAGGGGCGAGGGGCGAGGAGGTGTTGGTCTATGCCACGGGGGCAAGGACATCGAACGCACCTGTACCCACGATGCCGGTACGGCCGACAACGATGCGGGCACTGGGACTCTTGAGGTTGTCGAAGTCTCTCTCGACCACCGCCTCCTTGAGGTAGCCGACGGTCGTCTCGAAACTCATCTTGGCCAGGGGCGAGGAGCTGTCCTTCACCAGACCGTTGCGGTTGAAGGGACGGAAGCCACCGGACTGGGTCATCACGTCACCGATCAGGTTCAGATGGCGGTTGTCGACGGAGATGCTGTGACCCTCGAAGACGTCGGACATTTCCTTGACGATGGCGGCACGCGCGGCCTCCACGCCATAGAGGGTGAGCATGTGGTGAATCGAGTTGGTGTAGAGGGAGTGGGGCTTGATGATGTCCTGGTAGTCGCGCATGGCGAGCAGGTTGACACCTTCCGTGATGACATAGGCGGGCTCGCCCTTGACAGGATCCGCCGCGACGAACGTGCAGTTGCCCAGGCCAGGGATGGATTGGATGACCGCAGTGCGGGCAGCGTCTTCGACCAGAGGCAAGAGCAGAAGCTTGGGGGTGTCAATATCGTACTGCAGCTGGATAGTGCAGGATCCGCCCTTCTTGGGGTTGAACTTGAATTGAGTGACCTCGCCGTACTTGTTCTTGATGTCCTCCTCACGCAGCTTGGCGTCCTTGCCTTGCTCCTCGGAGTCGGAGTCGGAGGCGTCATCCATCTCGACATCACGCTTCTGGCGCGTGTTGTCACCCTCGTCATCCTCGTCCTCGTCCATGGCATCTTGCTGGCGCACCATGCTCTCCTCTTCATCCTCAGGGCCTTCGTAGGAGACCTGGTTGTTGCGGTTCTGGTTGCCCCGGGACCGCTTGGCGTCGTCCTCATCGTCTTCGACATCGTCATCCATGGGCTCTTCTTCGGCATCCCGACCGCTGGGGGCATCCTGGACCGTACCAACGGAGACACCAATCTCAGGCTGAGCGGTCGAGAACTTCTTCAATGTCTTCTCGTCATTACGCTTCTTGAGCTCGGCCTTGGTAAGCTTCACGAGTCTCGGGATGAGCTTGTTCTGCAGAGCATTTTGCACATCCTTGGTCGTGATAGCATACTCGGCGGTGTACTCATCAGGAGGGAAGAACGCGATCTCGATGTCGTAGATCTTGGCCTTCATGCTGCCGGAAGAAACTCTCTCCTTGATCTGGACCTTGTCAACAACCTCTGCAATGCTGAGCTTGCTGATGGCCTTGGCGAATCTTTCAGAGTGCTCCTTAGAGAGCTCTTCGTTCAGATAAAGGGTCATGGTAGGGGTCATGATGTGGGCACTAGCTGTCATGACAATTTCACGAAGACGGGGAATACCCAGCGTGACGTTCTTCGCGGAGTGACCAGCCAAGTGGAAGGTGTTCAGAGTCATCTGAGTGGAAGGTTCACCAATAGACTGACCGGCCACAATACCAACGGCCTCACCAGGGTCCACAACCGACTTCATGTACTTCATGTTCATCAGAGTGTTGAATGACTTCTTGGTGATAACACCCTCGATGCTCTTCTTCTTATCCCTGAGCAGTCCATCGGGGTTGGCATCCTCGTACTATTATGATAAATGTGTCAGTTATGCTGGACAGCTGATTGATTCTCAATGCACGCTTACCTTCTTGAGTGCTTGCGAGAACGCTTCGGAAATACTGCCCAGATTAC